AAAAAAAAAAAAAAAAAAAATAGAAATAAAAGAACACGCAGCCCATAGAACAGATATGGTGTATCCGACAGGAGTCTGTGAATTGGTGCGTGTGTGGCAATTCTAAAGCTAGTATAGCACCCAGGCCAACCTGGACGGACTGTATTTATTAGCTGAAAAAAGTAAGAAAGGTGACGGCCCAAACGGCGAGAATGTCCAAAAGCAATTCACGCAGCCGCCCGAATAATCCACATCTGTATTTCCGAACCCCTGCCTTTTCGGGCAGCGAGCCCCGACCCTGCTTCCCTCTGATCGACGAATGCCTGTGTTTCGCAGTATTATTAGTCCTGAGCCACCCTCGTTTGGCCTGCGCTGGTGCCCTGTATACAAGACCCCATATCCTGCTTCCGCCGGGATACATGATTCTGCTTCCTTTTGGCGCCACGCCTCCCACAAAACACCGGGGATTTTCAGAACAGACCTCTCCCAAATCTGAAGGCGCCAAGCACCCAGGCCCGCACCCGGGCAATGGGCGAGCAGGCCAATCTGTGTTTTCTGCCAGACTTCCGCCGCGGCTTCCATGAGCCTTGTATGCAGGTTCACCATACGAGGGCTTCCAGGACAGTGCCCTTGAAATAGCCAGCCAAATACATGCGAATTCAGCCCAAATGAATATGGGTGGAATGTGGCTCCTTGGATTTTGGCGAAAATCACCCTATATCAGCATGCCCGGAACCTTGCTCCTGGGCCGCCACATTCCCGCCCCACTGCTGTATTTACATCTCGCATTCTTTCGTATCTTCAGCCGCCCCCGACCTGGGTGGAACCCGCGTGCGTGCAGCCTATGTGCAGGAGCTTCTCCTCTGTCCGTCGGCATTTGCGCGAGCAATCTCCCCACCATACGGCCACCTTTTTTTTACCCCTTTCTTCAAACCCACGCCATTCCGACAGTGGACAATTAGATTGTGTTTAGCGCAGAGCGACTTTTGGCAAGCATCCCGTGACCCGCCCTGCCCCTGAAATTACTGCGCCCCCAATTGTGCCGAACGCCCCCACAATTAGCCGCCGAGAACTTCTACCCCTCGAGTTGAGCCATATCTGGAACGACCCAGATTCCCGCCCATTGAGCTGCACAAACCCCCTGCCCACACAAGCCCCTGTCTGCTCCTGGCGCTGCTAGATACATTCTGCCACAAGCGCTTTTCCCCAAAAAGCCCCAATCCACCCGAGCACTTTTTAGCCGCCGCCCACCCCCGTTTTCTGTCTCCCATGTCGTCCGTCTACCAGGCACAGGGCAAGCCGTTGTCGCAGCAGGCAATCTACCAGCAGAAATTGAGACTGGGCCACTTCAACAGCCCCAGCAAGCCGTCCGTGGGCGTGGCCTCGAGCGCCTCGGACGCCGCGGCGTTGTTGGCCGCGTCCACCGATTTGAGCGTCAAGCCCTCGTACGAGCGCTTGCGTGCCGCTCCAGAGGCACACACCGCGGCGTCCTCCGTCAACATGAACAAGGCCCGCGAGCCTGTGCCGGAGCCCGCGGCGAACCCCGACTTGGGCGTGCCGCTGTCCTACAACAGAGGCTCCGTGTACAAGCAGGCGCACACCAACTCCACGTCCACCATGACCCTGAGGATCTCGCCCGAGAAGTTGGTGTCCAAGCACGGCTTGGTGTCCAAGCCCTCGCGCGCGTCCACGCTCGACTACGGCAAAATCTCCCTGGTAGCAGACAAGAACTCCTCCCTGTTGTTGGACAAGCGCTTCAACCCGGGCCAGGACAACCGCTCCGGGCTTGCTTCCAAGCCCATCGAGGACTCCACCCGCAACGCGGGCTTGCTGGCTGCCCAGTCGGCCGGCCGCTCGGTGACCATGAAGCACGGAGCGGGCTACACCGACTCCGTTTCGTCCCAAAAAAGCTCGCTGACCTTCCAAGCCGCCGATGTCGTCGACGCCGCGTTGTTGGCTGCGGCCAGCGCCAAGGCCAAGGAGAGATTGAGCCCAACAAACGCAATCAACCTGTCGGACTTGCGGGAGCAGGCTCAATTGTACAGCAAGGCGTTGGCCACCGCGCAAAAGAACTCAGAGGAGAGGTTGAAAGCCCACAACTCGGGCATGATCGACTTGGGCGGAGGCTTATCTTTGCCAGCCTCTGAGGTGGACAAGTTGGCCAACTTGATTGTTCAGCCGGTGTTGGACGATCTCAACACGAAAGCCAGTTCTCAACGGGAGTTTGAGCAAGCCCAAGACTTCAAGCAGTCCGAGCTCAAGTTGTTGCATCTCAAGGCGAAGAAGGACGAGGAGAACCATAGACATTCGGTGAAAGTCCAGCGCTTAAAGGAGAAGGACCAAAGGGTTTTGGCAAACGAGGAAAGGAAGAAGGGCGAGGATGACCAATTCGTCGAATACCAGACGGAACAGAATACTTTGGTTGATACCAAGACACAAGAGTTGCGTGATTTGCAAGCGAAGTTCGCCGAGGAGAAGACCGTCTTGTTGACGGAGAAGCAAGAAAATGAAGATCGCATTGCTGAAGAAGAAGCAGGTTTGATCAAGGGTCGTAAGGAGGAATTGGAGTCAATGCAAAACGAGAAGGATGAGATCTTAAAACCAACTCTTGATGAATTGACCATCGAGAATGAGAAGTTGAAAAATTTAACCGACACGAAGGACCAGTTGACCAGTGAGGTCCGCAGCGGTGAAACTTTCAAGGCCGAATATGAAGCCAAGATCAAGGAGTTGAAAGAGAAACTCGAGCTGGTCCAGACCAACATTGAAGCCACTACTCTGGAGCACCAGGAGTTCTTTGCTAAGCGCGAGGCTACGGACAAAGAGGTCAAGGAGTTGGAAGAGTCCACTGGGCACGCTTTGCAGGAGATCGATAACAATCACAAGGAATTGCACGGCGAAATTGAAGCTTTGAGCAAAGAGAAGGAAGACAAGATTGCCACGAAGGCTAATCACAAGAAGGACATCCATCTGCAAGTTGATGACTTGGTCAAGGGGGAGCACGAGGTCAATAAGCATCTCCCAGAGCACATGCGAGAGTCTATCGACGAGGATAAGATTCGTGACATGGGGTCCCTTTTTTCCTCCGATGAGGAGAAGGAAACCAAGAAGGAGACTAAGAAGGCAGAGCCAAAGGAGGCGAAAAAGGAGGTGACACCGGTACCTGTCAAAAGCGAACCTGTCAAAAAAGTGGAGGCTAGCCCCAAGAACTCCTCGAAAAAAAAAGGATTCAGAGCTAGACTCAAGAGTGCTTTCCAGCCCCCAGTCGCTTCAAAACAGGACGTCAAGACCCCCAAGGAGAGCAATGCCGCTTCCTCGAAAACAGTGAAGGCTGACAGACAGGAATCGATTTCCACAAGCAACTTCGATGATGAAATCTCGATCCGGGGGAATCAGAATACAAAGGGACATTTCAAAGAGGAGATTTGATGTCTAGACAGTTCCAAACGAATGTGATCAGATGAAGGCGTGATCTTCAATTGCGCGGCCCCACTACGTGCGGGACCCAGCCCATAAAATTGTACCACTTACCTACAAAAGAAATATCAAAGGCCTAGTATATTTACGGAGTAGATGAGTTCAAGGCTGTGGCCAGCAAATGAGTTCAGCAGATCTTTTCAGCAAAAGGATGCAACTCCAGAAAGCACATGAACTCTCGCCCCTCATACGTGTTTCGTGAAGCGAATGGAGTCGCACCCCCAGAGCCTTACATCAGAAAAAACACAGTTCGCGCATGGGCACTTAGGCTTCATCTCTTTGTTACCATACCAACATTTAGTCAACTGACCAGATTCTAGCAAAGCCGCTCAATAAGTATGAGTGGAACAGTCGAGAAAAGCAAACTCAGGGACACGCTCCACAAGCTTAACTTCAAGATTGCAGACGCTTCTCCAGAATACATCGCTAGACGTAAGAAGCAAGCGACCTTCTTTCTAGCTGCCGCTGCCATGACTATCTTCACCTCGAGGTTTGCCCACCGCACTGCCATTTCTAGACAATACATCCCCTCGCTTTTCCAAGGTAATCACCAACCGCCTCTCAGTTATAATTTTGCCATGGATGCCGCCGTGGCTGTTGGAACTGGCACCATGCTTTGTGGCTCTGTTCTGTCGATGATAGCTTTCGGCGCATGTTGGGTCATGGATGTCTCGACACTTCCCGAATTTGGCTGGCGCATGAAGTCGCTTTTGGGAGGATACAAGAGCCAGCAGGAATTAGAGCAGGTGGCCATTGACGAGGAAAGTAAGACCATTGAAGATGGAATTAACGATCTTTTGGAAGGAAATCTTGACTTGGGATTTGACATTGTGGATGAGTCGGCATGATGTTCCAGTCTGTGTGAAGACTTGATGCTCATTCTGTTAAGTGCATCGCATTTTTGAAAGACCTGAGATCACCACGGTCGAATATTCGATGGGCAAACAGTCATCAAGAGGATGTTGACCGCTCCGTCATTTCATACATGATGTTTGTTACAATGAGTATGTGCTCATCTAGGTTCATCTGTTGTCTTTCGTGGACTAGCTTGTCATGTTATGTATTGGTGCACTGCAAACCGCATTGGGGACCGTGTAAATAGAAGTGCTTGTTCAATCGGCTTGTCGCGAGCCATTTTATTACTGTGATTGAAGTGAAAAGACTCCTTATATATACTTTATGCGGATCCTTGTACGAAGTATGGATTCGCATGCACTCGTGGATTGCTGAAAAATATTTTCCCTTATTCTTAAAGACTCTCAATTAAACCTTGAAATAGAAGAACCGGAAGTTTACTATAAGAATTTCGAACGTATCGCGATCATGATCAAGAAAGCGAGTGGCCATTCAGTTTCGGGCACTCATATTGCTCAAGGGTTGGAATGGCAATAGGGGCATATTAACAGGGATAATTGTCAAGCTAGTATGTGTCGAAAACACGAGACCCAGCATGATAGCAATATAAAAATCTTTTTGATGTTATAGAGGGAAGGAAATCTTTCTAGAAATCTGGACTGTCGAGTGGGTATCATGATACCCAAGAGCAGTAATGGGCTCGAGAAATAATACCCAAGGAACTCCAAGCAGAGTTATTGCAAACATTTTGGTGCTTCTTTAAGTTTTTTCAGAATTTCACAAAAATTGTGCATACTACCTTTTTTGGGTTCTATGCTTTGAGTACAAGGAAGCGAATATCTGTCAAAGTATTGCGGCAACATAAGTATGTATATCAGCCACCTCTGGAAATTACATTGTAGTTTCTAAGAGCTTTTCAGCTTCTTTAAGATCATGATCCAGATGTTTTATGGCCATACGTCAGGGATGGTTTCGGAATATGGCTTGTGAAACTCCCTGCAAGCAATTCACAGTTCGTTTGAGGAGATTGCGTACTTCCTTGCGTTAAGGAAGTATTTGATGAACGCTTGATCTTTTAAGACATGCAGCCTAAAGAGATGAATCACCCTATCAGAAACTGTACTAAAGGATTTACAGGCTGAAGGAGCACAGACGAGTCGGATCATCATGAATCTTTCAAAACATTGAGCCTGAAATGATAAATCAACGCCAATAATAGCGCACCTTATCTTGACTCCAACTCATTAAAAATCATAACTAAGTGCTTGAATATCTCCATCTCCAAACAAATTAGAATGGTTGAAACTATCGTGGCTTCAAACCTCTCACTTCGAACCATCTGTTCCTCAAAGTTTTTGTCTCTATAAATGACCGAAATGCTAAGTTTAAAGTGCCGTTCATGTCAGATATCCAGCAAAACAGTTTTATGCAATTTTAGGAAATTCATACTGAAGAAATGCGTTCAAGTACAGACATATCCCATCTTGATCTTCCTGGTGTTGATGAACAAAACACAGATGTACAAAATTTGTTCATCGATACTTTTTGTAGTTTTTACTTTGCTTAAGATATTAATTGGAGCAAATTACTTATGATCTTCATACAAAACATTGAAATACAGAACAAATGATACATTCAAGATATACATTAGCTTTATTGATTTTTACAACAGGAAAAATGTTGAGGCTTGCTTTATATTTCGAGACCCCAGCTTTTGTTATGTACTGTTTCACGTTCGGGTACATTTGTTCTTTTTTCAGCTGCATTTTATATCAAGCCGTATATTTCTGCCATTGATGGACGTTATATATCATCTTAAAAACTGTAGCTCCCAAAACACAAAATTTGATCAAGCCCAGTAATAGATCGTAGCAATCTCTGGGGCAACACAATTGTTGTCTTTGCGAATCAGCCGGTCCTGGCAAACATAAAAAATTGAATCCTTTGCAAACACCAAAACCTTGTCACCATGACCAGTTCCCTCTTTTACTTCCAAACATTTTAAAGGGTCTTGGGTCATGTATACTACTTCCCTATTGTCTAAACCCATTGTCAAACCGAGTACTTGCACTTTTTTTTTCACATTAAAGTTTGAAGGAAAATCACTTGCGACAACTGCATCATTATATCTCATGTAGTTAGGATACTTTCAATCTTTGTTATGGTATCGGATTTGAAAAATTCCGTCTCCAAGTACGGTTTCAATGAATGATAAAGCGAGAAGAGCGAATACGGTGGTGAACTTCATATTGAGGTATGACTCTGTAGTAAATACCCAAAAAATATTTGCCAGATGGAGAAGAGGTCTTTTATATCATGGCTGAAATTATGCCAAATAATGAGATGATAATTCCTTGAGTGCAAAAAATTGCTCTTCTTGTTCGGTTGACGACATCATATTGTGCAGATTCTCAATTGGCTTTGCGCGGAGCTTTTTCGAATTCTATTGTTTAACAATTCAAAAATCTCTCTTGATATGTTTGGGAACAAGAAAAAGCGCTTGTTTGAAATTTAGATCGTCTAACATTGTTTTACCTTGGGACGGCAAGAAAGTCGAGACGTCCCATCTGCATTTCAATCAAATGATGATGTCAGACGACCGATAACAATGAATTTCTACAGACTCAGGATGGTGGTATTGAAGATAATAATGACGCAGCGTTAGAAAAAACACGTCCCCAATATGAGATACATCGGACAGTCTTATTTGCGTGTCAAATGAGAGTCCAATTCAGTTCATCGTATGATGATGCTGAAATATAAAAAAGGAGAACATTGGTTATGAAACATTCAGCCATATATACAACTAGACGAAACTTCAAGACCGATATACCATGCAGAGATGCGTATTGTTAAAGTTCTGAAGAAAAGACCCGTCTGTGAACAATACGGCAATCTGTGATTCGGCAACAAAAAACTGGCCTATTGGAAACAAAAATTTTCATATCACTGTATTCTCCACCGCTCAATAATTTGGGTTTACCTATTGCTTTCAGTTAGACATTTGACATCATGATATATTGAGTTGATCTAATCATCTAAGTCTAGGTCATGGGTAAAAGAATAAAGTGCCTTCTGAGAATCTTGCCTGTTACTTCTGAGTATACTTTGTCGTGTAAGCTCTATTTTAGTATAGATATGCATATATATATTGTGTTGTGGAAAACGTTTATTGTTCCCCAGCGTTTCTGCAACTATTATTCTTCTTCATTTCTTGCAAAAAAAAAAAAAAGAAAAAAAAAAAGAAAAGAACAACTTTATTTTTAAACGCCGAGGTGTTTTTAGCTTGCCTTGAATCGCCATACGGAAGCCAGTGGCATGTGTACTGGAAATGAATGACATGTTGTAATGATCAAAACCATTGGTCGGCTTCTGCATCATACCGATCTTTACTTCGAGCAAGACACTATTCAGCAACAAACAAACCAATTTAGTGGTTTTCTTTTTGGTGGGCTTATTTTCAAACACGCATAGGGAGGGGCGGGGGGCTAGTAGTTTCAAGAATGATGGGGTAGCATCATAGTCTACCACAAGCGGTACGTCAGGTCCCTCTTTATAAATATTACATTGACGCTGTAAAATTTCTCAAAAGCTGACAGCATCAACAAAGAGTCTAACATACCATTGTCTTAGAAACGTCAATATAAAGAGATTTTAGCTAAATGATATCTGACGGAACTCACAGTAATGGCAGTGCATATAGTCAGATATGCGCTTACAGGGTCATTCAGTGTCAAGCGGATACCAGGGACCTTACACTAGCAGTGAGATTAGTATTAAGCTCCGTTGATACCATGAAAGACACAGTCTGCTAATTAAAACATTTGCAGTTCTCGTCCCATCTTGGCCAACGAAATGATGCCCTACTATCATATTTTCCTTTCCGAAAATAGACATGTAAGAGAATTTAAGTATTCATTCTTTGTCTCCTAAGAATTATACTTCAATCTGGGTCGCAATGATTTTGAATGGGACGAATGCAACCTTTGTTAAGGTTTGTACTTTTTGAAAAGCTTGATTGGACTTTGGGATGTATCATAAAATTCAGAGGGTTTTCTGAAGGCACACCGCAGATTTCAGACCAAGTGTTTTTCTCTTCTACTGAGACTCTATGAACTCAAGCAGCTTTGGAGTAAGTACTTGTGGACTAATCAACAATTGGTCATATCCAAGGTAGTAAGTAAGAAACTCAAATCACCGTCTTCTTTATACGAATCTGTTTTAAAGAGGCATCCCTGGGAGGAATACGTCCGGTGCCCAGATTAACCCTCCTGCTATAGGTCGCACCTGATGCAAGCGAGGTGGGGACGACGTTGACTCGTGAATGCATCCCATAGATTCAATAAAGAATCAGATGAAAGCGAATTGTGGAGAATTGTACTGAAAAGTCACAAAACATATCAAAATTCATACAAGCCATAAATTTGGTGCTGTTTTTTTGTACTTGTTTCTCAATTTGGAACTGCACAATTTTTCATGATTGGGGCAAGAATAACAAAATTGTCGAAACCTTGGTTGACGTGAGTTGTTCAGTCCCCGAGCAGCGTGTATTTCCCAGCTTCTTATCAGAATGAAAATACTTCGGAAGACCTGTATTTATCAGTGACTAGTTATATATATTGCTGACATCATCGCTAGAACCCCGATGTAAACAAAGTGCTGGCGCGCGCATGCACCTGATTAAACCCGCATTAGGCAATACGGTCTCGGTACCATCGCAGGTCTTCTCACCACAAGTACACTAGTAAACCCAAAAATTCAACACACATCCCACCACCACCCTAGTCGACACGAGTTTCGTTTTTGGTCGATCTCAATTTGGTAAATTTTTCTCATCCGCTTTTCCGTGGTCCCTAATATCGCAATTTGCGCTCAAGAAGGTACGACGAGACTACGTGATACAAGAACCTTCCTATAAGAATTCCAAATTCACCGAATTCCATGGCCAGGCTCTCCACTAACCCCAATCGGCTGGCAGCAGGACCGCGTACACCGAGGCCCACGGGCGAGACCGGTTTCTACCGGAATTTGCCGGGTGATCCGCCCCTGAATGCTGGTGCCAGAAAACGTAGATATAGACCGGGCACCAACGCCTTGCGAGAAATCCGCAAATTCCAAAGAGGCACCGACCTCTTGCTTCGAAAGCTTCCTTTTGCACGTCTAGTCAAGGAAATAGCCGATATATACATCGGGTCGGGCTACGGGATCCGGTGGCAGTCCAATGCCATATTGGCGCTCCAGGAGGCCAGTGAGGCGTTCTTGATTCACTTGCTAGAGGACACAAACTTGTGTGCCATCCACGCCAAAAGGGTCACCATCATGCAGAAAGATATCCAGCTTGCACGCCGAATCAGAGGTCAGCTTTAGGTGCAATATTTCCTAATTCAGGCAGGCTTCAGTGAGGATCACTCAGCTGCGACCGGCTGGATGAAGATGGTGTGCTGTGATGCACTATTTTTTATGCAAAAGGCAACAAGGGTGCAGGCGCTTCTATTGCAAAGATGCTCCGGGCTTGGCTCTAGCTGGACTGGCGGGGCGAAATGCTGTTGCCGAACCTCAAGTATGAATATACTTTGGAAATCTTTATGCAAGGTTTTGACAAGATGCACATGGGTTCGACACGTGCAGTTCGGAATCCATTTCAAGAAGCTTTTTGCCCGTGGCGTGGTTTGCTGCTTCAAGACTCTCCCCTTAGATGAAACTTTGTTGAGGGCTTCTGAAAGAAATGAGCTCGTGGTCAAGCTTCGAGGGAAGTACAGTGAGGACTCGACTGATCTCATTCGCCCTTTCACTCAAAGATTCACATACGAGCTGAACACTTGGCTTCGCCAATGTAGTGGACCTGGCCTCCTGCCTTTTTCAAGAACAATTACACTGGTACTACGGTCGTAGTAATTTCAGTCAGCCGCAGATGTACCGATAAGAGAGACGGAATAAATGAGTGCAGAAGACAGAGATCCCAGGGTCCTCAGCATTCTACGGAAGGCGCCAAGAGCATCTACATCACTTGGTAAATAGTTTAAGAAATTGAATCGCATACGCTATACTAAAGATACAGCTCAGATACACTTCCAACCGCCATTGCCGACTTTCCAGAGCCAGCAAATTAAATATGCTTACCTAAGCGTGAGTTTGATAATCCAGTAGTTTCATGATATCTCGCGTCCGACGCAACCACCCGTGTCGGTGGGATAAAACTCGAAGAGCCGCGGCCTAATCCATTTTTCCCAACGCAAGCCCTTCCATGTCGACGTCACCTGCGCTCTTCTTCCTTCCAGTGCGGCCCAGCGGATTAGGGTTGCCGTATATGATTGTGGCCGTGCCGTTGGCGTCCACCTTGAAGTGTGTTTTCAGATGCTGGGCCAAGTTGTCGGATCTCAGAAACTTCTTCTCGCAATACTTGCAGTGGAACGGCCGGATGTTCGAGTGGACGGACCGGATGTGACGCTTCAAGTGCTCCAGGCGCTTGAATTGCTTGTCACAGTCCGGGCACGGGAAGGGCTTGGGCTCATCGTCGCCCGGTTCCGCCGCGTGAGGGTGCCCCAGGTCAATGTGAGCGTGTGGGGCCACGTGACTGGAGTGCACGTCGACATCCATCAGGGCAATGCTCTCGACAATGTCTCTCGTGTACTTGAAAAGCCCATCTCTGGCCGAGTCTGCGGACCCAGGGCCCGGGACCGCCACGTCCATGGCGTCGTACGTGTCCTGCGCGTACACGTTTGCTGTTTTCGGCTCCTCCTTATGGGACAGAGGCAACGTGAGCGGGCGCACTTGCGCGCGGAGATCCAGCGGGGCGTGGCCAGTGTAATGGCCAGCCTGCTGAGGAGGAGAGTGGGAGAAGCCTTGTGTGTGCACATGTGCGCTGGCTAGGTTCAAGCTCGTGGCAAACGAGGCCTCGGGGATGGCGGACGACGTGTTGACGGACTTGCGGCGCCTGCGCTTCTGATCCATGGGGAGCGTGCGCAGGGTCTTCGCTGGTCTGTCGTCGGCGCGCGGAGACACGACCTGGATCAGGTTGCGGCGCGTCCAGCCCGGCTTCATGACGCTCAGCGGCGTGCGCGGGCCGCTCGGCGCGGGCTTGTCCAGGATCACGTCGGCGGTGTTGTTGAGCCAGTACGTGATTGCAGACACGCACTCGTCGTTCATCACGTACGGGTTCAGCGGGTTGTTCAAGGCCAGCGGCGGTTTCTGCGAGGGCAAGGTATAGGCAGGGAGGGCCTGGAGGGCGGCCGTGGCGGATAGCGGGCCCTGCGGATCCGCAGCCGGGGCCGCGGAGAGCTCCAGAAGGTCGTGGGTGGCGGCCAGCTTCGCGAAAAACGTCAGGAGCGACGGTGACAGCACGCTGGAGGGCAAGACGTAGCGCGTGGCGCCGGCCAGACCCGGCCCCGGCGGCGAGGCGCCGTCCGGCCCCCCGAAAAGGCGGCGCGGGTCCACGGTGCGCTCCTCGGTGGAGGCCAGCAGGCCGGGGAGCATGCTGTAGAGATCCGGCGACGACAGCTTCAGGCTGCCGGCGGCCTGCAAGGACATGCGGTTGAGCTGGTCGACGGCCAGCAGGAAGCGGCGCGTGTGGGAGTAGTGTGAGTCGAGGGCGCCGGCGTGCTTCAACGGCGAGGAAGCCAGCTCGTGCGGGGGCATGGCGGCGTAGCCGAAGTCGAAGTTGGCGGCCAGCAGCAGCAGCAGGGGTACGGCGGCGCCCGGGCCCGCGCCATACGCGTCCGTGGTATAGGCCGGCGCGGCGTTGTAGTTGAAAAACACCTCGTCGTTCAAGTCGATGGCGTCCGAGTTGACCGTGGCGAGCAGCGCGGGCGGCGGGATCCAGTCGGGGACCGCGGCGGCGGCGGGCGGCGGCGCGGCCGGCAGGGCCTGCAGCGGCAGCAAGAAATGCTGCTGTTTCAGGGGGTGCTGGTCACGGAACAGCGGCTCGAGGCCGAGGGGCAGCTGGCGGGCCATGGCGGCGGACTTGAGGGATATGCTTTTTGAGGGGGGAAGGGGGGAAGAGGGCCCTGCTAGGATGCCTTTCCTGGGAGCACGGAGCCGTGGATGTGGGTGCTTCTGGGATTTCCAGTTGCTTGCGGCTGGAACTGTGAAGATGCCGTTTTCTGGGTCCTCCGTAGAATTCTGGGTCCTCCGTGGAGTTCTGGGTGGGTGTTTGCGGCTGCTTCAGAAGCTGCCAAGTGCCCTCGTTCTGGTGTACCTGTGCTGGTGTCCGGCCTTGGTTTCGGCGTCCGTTTCCGGGGTCGGGTTCCAGTGTCAATTTCGGCGCTGGCGTGTCCGGGGTGCCAAAAAAAAAGGGCAAGTGTACTGGTGGTCACAGCTAGAGTAGAAGGCCGAGGCGCGGGAAGGTGGCGCGGGACGAAACGACTGGCCCAGGTGTCTTTTTTTTGGGCGGCAACGGCGTGCGGATTCCGGCCTGGTGGTGTGTGGCCCGGTGGTGTGTGGCCGTATGGTGAGTGGCCCTTTGGTTGCTGGCCCGGTGGTGGAGACAGATTCACAAAGACGTGGGGCTGTCAAAAAAAAAAAAAAACCGTAGCTGGGGCCTGGCGGATGACCGTCCAAACAATAGGGCCAAGGCTTTCGCAGATAACAGATAAGCGTGGGGCGGAGAAAAAAGGCGAGAGCTTAAAATCATGCCGGGCCAAAAAAAGTTAAAAAAAAACAACCAGCCAAAACCCAGACAGGACCCGGACAGACAGAGGCGCGGCGCACGGAGGCCGTCACGTGGCGGCGGCTGCCGCAGGCCCGGGTCTCCTGGCGGATTCCTGGAATGACGGCGCCTGTGTTTGGCTTGCCGCCGGCAAAAGACGGGAATTGCAGTTGTGTTTTATTTTTGCTCGCTGGGCGATAGCGTGCGGCGGGTCGCGGCCTGGTTTTTTTTATTAGCTTGGTGCGGCCCCGCCGCACTGGGCCGGTGCCTGACCGGGGCCTCGCAAATGCGGTATCTGCAGGAACACACCCAAAGGCCTGACTGGGAAAACGCAAGCTCGGCCTCGCCGTGCACAGCCTGGGCCTGCCCGTGCGGGGCGGCCATTTGACGGCCCCGAAATCGTGGCCACGGTGGGCAGCTGGGGCAGCATGCCTGCACATAGCCGCGCACGTGACGCCGGCCCTGGTTCGCAGCGCCGCGCTCGGGCAAAATAGCGTGATTTGCCATTGCGGCCCCGGAACATGGGCGTGATTGCACTGTTCTTTCGTACGGCCGGTTGGCCCGGGCCAGACGGGCTCACCAGCGTTTGGATCAGGCAGCATGCAGGCGAGTTTTTATTTTTGTATTATTTCTATTTTTTTGGTGCCTGGTGGCTCTGTTTGCACCCTGGTGGTGACGGTGCATTCGGAACCAGCTTCCAGAGCTTCCAGACTTGCGGGTTACGAGCGCTTTCCCCGACCAAGAAAACTTGGGTGTGGACAAAATACACGAGGTCGCTGCACGCATCGTGACATGCGTCAGGCACCAGACCCCGGCGATCTCTCGGCTTGCCATCTCTGGAGCCATTTTCATCTATGGTCTAATATCCATCCATGGTCTAATATCCATCTGTAATGCTAATGTCTATCTGTACTGCTAATATCCATCTATGGTGCTAATATCCATCTGTAATGCTAATGTCTATCTGTACTGCTAATATCCATCTATGGTGCTAATATCCATCTGTAATGCTAATGTCTATCTATAATGCTAATATCCATAAATGGTGCTAATATCCATCTGTAATGCTAATGTCTATCTGTAGTGCTAATATCCATCTGTAGTGCTAATGTCCATCTATGGTGCTAATATCCATATATAGTGCCAATATCCATATATGGTCTAATATCCATCTATGGCACTTATATGTATCGGGCACCATTATTCACGACGTGAGTATCAATCAATGGAGCATCAATTCTTCTTCTAAATGCCAGCTGCTGACCATAGAAAATCACATGTTTATCATTTGAACTATTTCTGGGGGTCGTATTTGGGTAGTCAGTGGCACATCTCGCACACATCCTCCCAGGCCTTACGTCATATTACGACACCTCAATTCTCCGTGGATATTCGATATTTTGGACAGGACAATTTCTTGCTGTAGAATTAGGCGTGCTTTTCGTTCGCCACTTGAAAATTGCCCATGGGAGTAGCCGTTTGAGCTTCCACTAATGGTTTCCGCCCCCGCAAATCGTACTCTCCTAGGTACACCCCCGCCATGATATGACAGCCTTCATCTGTCAGCAGGGCTTTAATCCAGCCCGCAGAATGAGACCCTCGAGTCCATGGCTCATTGTCCTACTCTGAATTAAAAACCCTAAAAGGTTCTGAGATAGGTCACGCGGCAATCTGCTTGACGACTGGCTCAAAAATCTGCCATATTTTTTTTTTGCAGACCACCTTTCAACCTGCGTAGCCGAAGCATATTGCATCAAAAATACCGACAATGGGACTTTGGCCATGGCAGAATAGTTGGCGATTGAAGTTGGGTTCTGCCAAGGTCGTACAGTGTGTTGTGAACTCCTCTCAGAGGCAAGAATATAGACCTTGTGAACGTCCGTCGGCCAGAAGCATTTCTCGAACTCCATAACAACTTTTCCTAATGATTCACAATAGCATTATGGTAGAAAGTCCTGGAATCCTCGCGGTAATGGTGGTGCCCAATTGAGGATATGCCTATTATTTTGAACAGTGATTCCGAGAACACTCAACGGGGCAGTCACCACGACATAATTGAAAGTGTAGACCGACCCCTCACTCGTGGTCAAAGTGATAATACCATACTTCTCATAGTTGATATGCGTTTCTTGTGTACTCAATCTAATGTTTTGTCTTTGGTATGCCTCAGGTAACTCAGCTAGCCCATTTCTGAATCCAGTCTCGAACCCGTTCTTGACATCTGCATTTCTACCAAGATGATCAGCTCTCCACGAAAAGAAATGCTTCGCAGAAGCAATGCCCCACAGAATGTCAATCCACATTTCCAGCCACATCGCAAGGCTTGCTGAGAAACCTGGGGCTGGCAAGATGTAGGCTCCATTTCGTGTTTCCTCGTGCAGAGGGAACACAAATCTTTAACCTTTCTTTGAGAATCTTTTTCAAAATAAAGCTTCCCGAAAGTTTCAACATCTACCATAACTCTCATGTTCCCAGGCAGGGACACTCCGTTTGTGTTCTGAGACATACATGTGTTTGCCATCATCATATAAGTACTCCACATTTCCTGGTTTTCTCGAGAAGCGTATTCCGTAAGCTATCATAGATCCACAGCGCTCCTAAATCAAAGCACACGCTTGACTTTAAATTGGATTGTGGGTTTTGAGTCTCCCGCCTAAACAATCTTTAACCTCCCATAACTTTGTAAAGATCGCCTACAGTTTTGATACCAGTCATGCTTCCCCGATTATGATAACTGAGTAACGAATGTCATTCAGATTATCTCTGGAGCCATTAGCCATCTGGAGCCATTATTCAACTCTGGAGCCATTTGGCATCTCTAGAGCCATTCATAGCCTTGCTTATATCGGCTTCTAATCTTTACTAGTCTGGCTGTGCCGGCTCCGTTGCCCACTCAAATGGACGCACTTCTCCGCCTAGCCTCCAGCTGTACTGTACTGTACTGTCTTACCGTCCTTGCGAATTTACACTCTCGGGCCCCATTTGTCAACAAAGGCCCGACTGGGTTGCACGAGCACATTCATATTCTGTACATGCCCGCCGTTCTTTGAAAGTCTCGTTGGTTGCCCAACCAAGACATATCAACATAGAAAATATCAGATCCCTTCTACGTGGGTGTACAGGCCTGCCAACTCCACTTTTCCTAGAGCCGTTCGGACGCCCAAGAAGGAGGTTGTGCCAGATTTGCTGCCCGTACTAGACAAATGGGCTGCTCGTTATTTCAAAACGGATGATCATCCCATGTTGCCGAGCTGGACCGTGTTCATTTCAATTTGAAACACATCTGTTGGGTTGTTTGAGGACCAACTCGTAAAGTAGGCCTCTATCCTAAACTTCAACTGCAGAAAAAACATTACACTGCTTACCGTTTAATTTCTTCGTTTTGTGTGAAAATGAACTATTAATGGATGCCGTTGGCAGGCGATACTTTCAATTTGCGCCCACCCACGGCAACCGGAAACTGAACCAAGAGCGCATCGCTCAGAATTGCAATCAAAGCTCTTTGCTCGCTTTCTTTGTCATTGACCCTGATACGTAAATGTAGTTTGTACGAAGTCTGTCACTACAGTGCGCCGAAGGTACTCCAGTGGTGCGGCTGAAAATGTGAATTGCCGGTCTTAATGAAATTCCTTATATCAAATACCAGTTAAGATCTGACCGAGTCTCGAATGTCAACAAAGCATGGTTTTGCGATCCCTTAACGCCATATCTTCAAGGCTTGCTCTTTCAAAACCCGAAAATATTCACTTGAGAGCACATTTTACTGTCTAAACATATTTGGCAGTTGGCAACGCCCACCGGTAATGTCATGTAAATATACGTATAAATATGTTTGTATCTTCTGTTCTGAACTTATCTTATTCAATATCAAAAGTTCTGCAAAAGAAAACTCAAAAAAACGGCTAATAATGAGCCTAGCCTAAATTGCGTTTCGCAATTTCCAACCCCCTCTGAACGGACCCTCTAGGCATTCTGAAGTTATCGATTTCTAAGAGTTTACTGTTGCTCCAAACCAGAATCTACAAGAGAGCTAATGATACCCATTTTTATCTCCAATGCCTCGCGTCTTCAAGTGAACACCTGGAGAAGCGTGGGAAAAGACAAAATGAGGTTTCTTCCAAAAGTATTGACGAAGTCATATTATTTGACGCTTGACAACCCCAATCACTGAAGAGCCATTTTTGTCTATGCTTTTTACACAGAGGATCTGGGAAGGTATATGTGGCCTCTTTGCTGTTCAGAACCTGGCTTGTGCATATCCGGAGGGAAGATTTAATCAACGTTTTTTTCATTTTTTTTCCCGATAATTTTATACAATAAATTTAATAAATATTATTTGATCTTTGAGCAGGTCTTGAATACTTACCAGCAGCAAGATTCTGCACCACCACTTTTTTTTAATCACAGCCTGAACAGTTTCCTCGGCCCAAACCTTATGTATTACTCAGTTAGTTGGAGACGACTTGATAAGGCAAAAAAAGCAAAACCGCCCTTTAAACGACTTTAACCAACAAATCAAGGGTTCAAAGCTTTTCGTCGAAAGTATTTAAAGGAGATAGCATCTCCCTTAAGTGTGTTGGAGCTTGAAAGTTGATCTTTTGCCATCAGAGGTGCACATTCTCACACTCATTGTAGAGGTGTAAACATAGAGGATGTGATTAAATAGACGCTTGCGCTAAGATTGTTTTGATCCAGCCATTTTTGTTTGTACAATTCTTTTCTAATTTTTTCAGCATTTTATTGTCTTTGCTTCAGGAAAAATCACAAGGAAACGCCCCGGGCGAAGTGGCGGAAGTTCTTCCTGTTTGCGCCGGCTCCATTGTATGGCTTCCATCTCATGAGGTTTCATATGTGATCTGCCCGGATGAGGCCCAGCAGACACCATCCAGTCAGTGTTTCGAGAGAGCGGTTGTTCCGTCATCTTACTTAACATCGGTTTGAAGGTCGCGAGCTCTTGGAACAATTTTCTTCAAAGCTTCAAAATAGTGACGTTCTTTGGGGGTGAAGGTCCATTGTGAGATTTTGCAGAACATGTCAGACTTTTCGATCTTAAAGTCGACCCATAATAGACCTGCGTCGAGCCTCATAATAGCTCGGCTATTGTTAAGAAAGTTTTTTTCCATGTGGTGTATCATCTTGAGTTTGAGCTAATTGGTGAGCCAATGGTGCGCAGTCGTGAGTGTCGACAGTAGGACTCCAGCTCTGTGCTTCAGCAATTGGATTTTTATCTCTATAAATCCATAACCGCCAATTTTGTGCCGGGCACACATCTTTGTTTATTAAACACGCGTTTGATACCAACACCCATGGCTCGCAACTACTTTGCAGTCATACATTGGACAATGCCTCGATAAAGTTGCTTCGAGCAAATAAACGGTACGGTCCTCTGTACTCGATCATTAACGGCCAACAAAACGTATCCCGATTGGGAGATTTGCGATGGGAGAGTTGTGATAAAAAATTAACCCCCTTGAGTCGTAATCTTAGTTAGACCGTATTGTCATATGTATTTCTGATGATAGGGAAGAATGTCTTGAAAGAGGCGTGGAAAGTGCAGAGTAAAGCTTAAAAGTGTGGATTTACTCACACTTTTTCAACAGTTACTGACTTTCTCGTAGTTCGATGTGATTTCTGCAGCATTAGCACAACCTTCCGTATCATCAAGGTAAATATTAACATCATTCATAAAGCGTGGTATTGCATATTTTTCATAAACAATCGGAAATTCTTCAAGCGTTTCAAGGTGGATTGAATAGGATTCCAATGCTAAATTAAATAATATCGGGTTTCCCTGTCTGGTACCACATTGGATTGGAAAAGGATTGAAAAAGATTTGTGCCTCCTGTTCTCGCATGATCAAGATCAAGAACCTACCCATAGTAGGCCCAATACCCATTTATTTCCACACCGCCTCCATGTATTGGTGAGATGTGTGATCAGAAGCCTTAGAAAAATCAGCCATAAATACTGCTTGTTATCTGAGTTGAAGCGACTACTAAAGGAGACTTATCCTAAGAATCGGTGACGTAGTATCCAGTACGTAAAAAGATATGGGCCAAGAGGACCCAGGCGGTGACTAACTATACTGCTTCTTTTTTCAAACACATCCATTAATCAAATAAATCTACAAAATAACACCACCAATCCCCAGTCTGTGTCTTTTTGGAGTTTTTCCTAAAGCTGACGCTCTATTAAATAGTAAGTAAGATACCTAATTTTCTAAGAACCCAAAAACTACGAATTCCAGAGCCATTATTTTAAATCCAGGGCATGTTTTTTTTAAGGAATTGAGAAATATACCCAAGTGTATAGAACTGATGAGCAAAAAATATAGCAATGAAAGCTCCATTCAGGGGACATATAGGAGACTGCTAGATGAACAGACGGATGAGTTTTTCTTGATCCTGTTACTGTTCTCCAGTCTTTGGAATAGAATTTACGAACACCAAATCATTTTTGGAAATGGCCTACTACAAGCATCCAAAAGAAGAAATTTTCTCTTAGAAAAATCATGCTTTGCTTTCAAATTCTTCATTTTCCAAATCCAAATCTTGAAATCAAATCTCATAGCAATTTTGTGGACTCGGTTATCATGCCATCGCTGGAGACCGTCGATCAAGAAATTTTCCTGGGAAACATATTCAAGGATCTTGGGGTAGAGAATCAGACGGTCTCCCACCTTTTATAGTATATTTTCTTTGCTTAAAAAATTGCTAGATTACTTTGTCTATTTCAGTATCATATAATACTTGTGGCTGTTTACAATTATGACAGACCCATAAAGTATAAAACATCTTTACCTTTTTGCGATGCTCGGAGCGGGCAATGTCACTATATACACGGTGACAAAAATCCATGGCATGCCGAAAAATTGATAAACTCTCTTCTTATGCTCGGCTAAGAATACCAAAGATTCTCGTGAGTTTTGCTGAACATTCTATGATTGTCTATTTGGTAAGATTTTTTTGGCAGATTTGTGACAATGTAAAACTCACACTATCTTTAGGAGGTGAATGTTACCATCTTCTCATTCAAGTCTTCTTGTTATTTTTCATTAAGAAAGATACCAACATCAGGACTAAACATTAATTGTATTGCATTGCAATTCAGCTGAATTGTGTGAACAACTCCAATACATCTACAGAGGTTTTTATCGGCTATTTTCAAAACGGGTACGTTATGCGAGTGACAACATACTTCCCAGAGTAGCAGATATCGTTTTGAGTAGTTTCTTTTAAAACATTGACACTTTCCTCCAAGTTTTGAGACTGTTCCGTAAGTTTCTATTTATTTTGATCTTGTGCTTCCTGTAGGTGCCTCATTCTGGCTTTATATCCAGGTTTCTTCCAGTGGCGTTCTATAAAGTTTCCTGAAATAAATTTCCTCTATTATGGCGCAAAACTGCACTTTAATTTGTATCAAGAAAACAAATCTGATTAAGTCGGGCAAATTATTTGAGACTCCACGCATACTTTGTCGATTTGATACAAAAAGTAGGGAGTATTTTATCAGTGCAATCACAATAACTTTCACTCCAATACATGCACTACATTCATGAGCTCTTTTGAAGTCAAATCAGACAAATAAATTCAAACTGCTTGAAAATTTTATGTAAGATAGAAGAATTGGCCATTTGACCTCTTTGTTGGAGAATTTAGATCGAATGGACGGAGAAGAAGCCGCATTTGCGGCAGCTAACGGCACTTCATGAAGAATCGGGTCAAGTCTAAAATTAAAGAGCATTCGTGCCGCTTACCTTCTTCTGACTTATACTCCCAGTACGCTTTAAGTATAAGATTTTGAAAGATCATTCGAAAAAACATTCCTATCTCCTTTTGAGGACAAGGAGGTTTATTGTGGGCTATGAAGTTGTGAACTTCCAAAGTCTTCATAATCATGCAACCCAGACTACATATATTCTGTAAACTTGAAAAAAAGAAATGACTCCGTGGAAACGACGCTCTTGCCAATTTTAAAGCGCGTGACCTATACGAGTCTAGTTCTTCACCCATCTCGGTATCAAATTTTCCGCTGTCCACTTCCTCGTATCTCGAGTGAAAAGGGAAAAACCAGCAATCCAATAGATTAATTTTCCTCGCCTCTGGAACTAGTTGACACATATTACTTGCATTTGAGAAGAAGCTTTAGTGTGATTCTTCAAGAACTTGTTTAGATCAATGCACTCGCGGGAAGACAGCCAAAGTCAACCCTTGGGTGGTAGTATATGTTCACTCACTGAATGTATTACAAAAGGGCCTGTATTACCCGAAGACCTTGGCTAAGAATTATTTTTTGTGTTGCTTTACTTAATAATTGGGGTTTTATGTATTCAAGACTTGAACACGAAAGATAAAAGATACCAAGATACCCATACCCAGAAGAGTAAATCGCATTCGAAAGAACTCACAAAAGAAAGAGCAAATTGTTTTTTGACAAAAGAAAAGATTTCTTCTTAGAGGCTTTGAGAGCATTGGTAGCATTAATTATTGCCTTGAATTACTAGAAATCTGCCTTTTTTTCTCAGTAATGATTCTCAATTAGAGGAAACACCGCTCAGTTGGTATTGATACTACCCAAGCTAAAACTGTAGGCATGACCATGGTCTTGCTTAATGTACGAATAATCACAGTTTTTGCGGTCTTCTAGAGTTGAAGATTTACAGCTTAACTACGATGTGGATTTTGGAAATCTTGCTTAGATCTTAGACAGAACAAAGAATAATATCCACGGCCTTGTGACCATAAACTTTGGATGCCCCATGGTACCCTCATTCACGCTTTTATTTTAGTCTTACATCTCTGATGCTGTAGGGCAAGCAACCCGTGACGCTTTTGATCATAGTTTATTTAAGGAACAGATCAAACATTTCCAAACCCATATCATGATGTTATATCCAGCAACAAATCCAAGTTCAACAAATTATAAGATAAGCGATGAAATTCAGTTGGACTTATCTCTCTCTTATATAGTATATTGCTGTTTCTGTATATTATAGCAATCAGAGGAACATAAAATTCCCAAGCGTGGGGCTTGAGATGTCATTCCGAGATACTCGAATGGGAACACTATTAGAAATTGAAGTGAATTTACTCAAGATATTACTTTGGAGCATTAGATGAGTGATCCTCAAAAAACCGTTTTTCTAGGTTTTCAAAACATGCGGAAAATATCAGACGTGGTACGCAAAAAAGACAAATAAGTTAAAGCATCTTTTGTTATCGTCAATAATCAAATGTCTTAGTCGTTTTACCCATTGTGAATTACTGTATCTATTTCGCTGGCTGGTCCCTTCATACATTCTTACTAGGTTTCTTGCATCTAAAAACTGGGAGATAATTAAATAGAGGTGTATTAACATTTTGTTGAGAAATCACGAAACATGTATTTTACTGAGATCTTAGTTCACTCGAAGCTTCCAGTAGAATACAAATATTGTGAAGTCCCTACATCACGATTTCAAGTTTGTGGTCAGAAAGTGTCATCACGAATAGAGAAGGGTGGGCCCATACCACTATTGATATTGCAAAATCACATTCATTTCATAAAGACATATAAACTGGTAAAAAACGCCAATATCACAAACATTGTTAGATAAAAACAGAACCAATATGGTAAAGTTTCGATGGCTTACTCACCAATGGCTGCCAAAACTGTTCCTATAATATCAAAAGTAGTACTTAAGTACGTCAAGTGCACTGCGCTGAGAATGTTTGCGAACACAAAGGATAAAAGGGAGAAGAATCCTCTTTTAATGAGCTCATTACTTTCACGATCCAACGCCTGTATGGACTCCTCAGACAATTTGACGCCCATATGCTTGGGATCAATATTCATTTGACGAGCAACTTGATGAGTACTTTCGCCGAGTACCTTGACTAAATTCCCAAAAGCGGAAACAAATTCCGTGTTGTTTTTCACTATGGGCAAAGTATTTTGGGGATTGAGTATCCAAGGAGGTAAACCATTATTATCAGCATCTGGGGTGGCTCTCATTTCTATAGGAGAAGCAGAGGCAAGAGCAGCAAAGCCGAAAGCGAGGATAGTGGAGAGTCTCATTGATAGACAGAAGAGAAGAGTTGATAGTTTGGTGATGAGAAAATCAATATGAATATATGACTCCATTAGCTCTTTATATACGTATTCCGCAGCGGGGTTGCAGGCGAGATTTTAAAAGTCACATTCCTGATCTTAGATTGTCGTCTCTGTCGCCATTCGCGTCTGCAGAGGAGATGTTAGTAGCCTGTGCAATTTGTTGAGATGCTGTCTGCAAGAATTTTATAAGCTAGAAAACCCGGACCACCCAAAACAATTCTAGCTGCATCACGCTTCGATCACCAAATTTTGCACAGTCGGCAAAATAGGGCACGTGTGTCCGGCAATTCCCGTCAATCTTCCAGGGCAATTTAGCAGATACCAGAAAAGTTAAGAAGGTTTGCTTTCTGTTCAATATTTCTGGCGAAAAGCTCTTGGTCAGACATTTGCAGGAGCGTATAACACACGCATAAATCTGCTGTTAGGAATCTTCTTCTAGTAATTTGATCGCTACTCTGTCATGGCTGTTGTCCGAGAATCTCCCCTGCAAAATTTACACGAAATAATGCATGCGATATATAGTTGTGCATCTTGATACATACCGCTAATATGGTTGTTGGAGCACGCAATTCGAGTCAACGTCAATCTTTCAGGGGCCAATCATATTAGACACGAATAACTTCTGTGGTATTTCTTTGTTCTCTAATGGAAATTTTCTCGTTGTAATTTCGATGTACAGACTATCAACTTAGATGCTAATATAGGCTGTGTCACACTAATATGGCGCTGAATGTATCGGGCGGTTGCCCCGCCTTTAGGAAGTATACTAGGCTAATATTGTGTACACACATCAGGACTGTCTAGACTGCCCTATGTTCCATTGCGTATTCCATGCGGGGTAGACTTCAATCGTAAAAACGATTAATTTAAATGCAGTAGGCAGCTTTTCTACCGTCTCGCATTCCAGTGTCAAAAATGCTCATGACATATATTTTCCTGTATGTAGCAAGGCATCATTTGTTTCATCGCGTTTAGTTCGAATTCAGATGATGTAGTGGTATATTTTTGTGGGCTCGAATATGATCGTACCTTTCAGCTTGCGCTGCAGTCAAAATACCAACTAAACTTCAGCTAAATTCTGGCTCAACCGGTTTCAAACGGTGGAGAAGATAGCGGCACAACACAAACATTTGAACGTTGCTCATGCTGAAGCAGCAGCTTAATTTCTAGATATTTCAGTTTTCAGAAACATTGTTTGATGCTCATTTTCCCATTGTGTTAAATTGGAACTGGAAGTAAAATATCCTTGAAGGTCCTCAAAGGCAAAAAATCTACGTGGCTTCGTATTCATCACTAGTAGCCGTGATGAGCTTTGTTGCAGAGTTCTGTTTGTCTATATATCTAGGCAGACGTGCTTGATAAAGGGCCTGGAAAGTGTTGTGTTAAAGAGTTCCCATATATTGTTCAAGACAATATAAATGGTGGATTCACAACTTTTGATAGGCTCAGAGTCACACATGTACTTACGACCAGATTTTTAGATAGTCTTCGCTCTTCCTTGAACAAATAATTAATTAAACAGATATTCATTCTGATATTCATTTCATAAACACGTAAAAACTAGTACAAAAAATCCCTTCCCGCAAAAAATACTAAAGTAGGGAAAATCCAAACTTTGCCAATCAGACCTCAGGTTTGAAAATCTTCAAAACGTGGTCGACGAAGCTGACACCGGTGACACCACTAATTTCGGACAACGTGTGAAAAATATGTCCAGTAAATGGAATTAGAAAAGTCTTGATGCCTTTTTTTGAAAGCTCTTGCATTTCAGATTCAGATCTTTCTGCAAATCTTTTAGTAAATGACATACCGATGGTTTTTTCCCATTCACTTTGATCTACTTTATAGTAGTTCACAATAAAATCAGATGCTTCATGAGCAGAATCAATCAAGGATTCAAAGCCAGCAATAACTTTTGAATCTTTGACTTTGTCCACTTCAGCATCTGGGGTGGCTCTCTTCTCAATAGGAGAAGCAGAGGCAAAAGCAGCAAAACCGAAAGCGAGGATAGTGGAGAGTCTCATTGATAGACAGAAAAGAAGAGTTGATAGTTTGGTGATGAGAAAATTAATATGAATATATGACTCCATTAGCTCTTTATATACTTTTTCTGCAGCGGGGTTGCAGGCAAGATTTTAAAAGTCACATTCCTGATCTCAGATTGTCGTCTCTGTCGCCATTTGCGTCTGCAGAGGAGATGTTAGTAGCCTGTGCAATTTGTTGAGATGCTGTCTGCAAGAATTTGAGCTTATTGACAGTATAAGCTAGAAAACCCGGACCACCCAAAACAATTCTAGCTGCATCACGCTTCGATCACCAAATTTTGCACAGTCGGCAAAATAGGGCACGTGTGTCCGGCAATTCCCGTCAATCTTCCAGGGCAATTTAGCAGATACCAGAAAAGTTAAGAAGGTTTGCTTTCTGTTCAATATTTCTGGCGAAAAGCTCTTGGTCAGACATTTGCAGGAGCGTATAACACACGCATAAATCTGCTGTTAGGAATCTTCTTCTAGTAATTTGATCGCTACTCTGTCATGGCTGTTGTCCGAGAATCTCCCCTGCAAAATTTACACGAAATAATGCATGCGATATATAGTTGTGCATCTTGATACATACCGCTAATATGGTTGTTGGAGCACGCAATTCGAGTCAACGTCAATATTTCAGGGGCCAATCATATTAGACACGAAAAACTTCTGTAGCATTTCTTCCTTCTTCAAGAGAATGTTCCTCGTTGTGATTTCGATCTACAAAGATGCTACTAATACTATTTCACATTAATATGGTGCTGAAAGAATCGGGGCTGCTGTTGCCTTTAGGTAGTATACAAGTCTAATATCGTGTACACACATCAGGACTGTCTAGAATATTGTGCAACCCTGGCCTATGTTTTATCGCGTATTCCATGCGGGGTAGACTCCAATCGTAAAGATGTTGAAGTCTATCCTGCATTGAAACTATAAGCCGGCCCAGAGCCTTGGTCAATGTTGTAGACAGTCCTAGTATGTGTATACCGGGCACATCTTGGTATAGCATCTAGGATGGTGAAAACATATGAGCGAACAGTACTATGGTAAGGACCACATCGGTAGGACTTAGCTCATGGTAACGTATGAATCGATTAAGATGTAGATCTATGAAGAGGAGCTTTCTTCAAAGAAGGAAGAAAGGAGACATGAAAAGTTCTTCAAGTCTTATATAGCTGACGACTCCGAGAGTGGCTTCGCCTTTAGAGTACGTGTCCCAACCACCATACTGGAGGTCATTTATCTCAACAAAAGACGAAGAACCTAAATGCAGGAGTAGGCAGCTTTTCTACCGTCTCGCATTCCAGTGTCAAAAATGCTCATGACATATATTTTCCTGTATGTAGCAAGGCATCATTTGTTTCATCGCGTTTAGTTCGAATTCAGATGATTTAGTGGGGTATTTTTGTGGGCTCGAATATGATCGTGCCTTTCAGCTTGCGCTGCAGTCAAAATACCAACTAAACTTCAGCTAAATTCTGGCTCAACCGGTTTCAAACGGTGGAGAAGATAGCGGCACAACACAAACATTTGAACGTTGCTCATGCTGAAGCACTGCAGCTTAATCTATAAGTCCCTCAGTGTTCAGAAGCAATGTTTGATGCTATGTATCCTCAGTATATTCCCATTGTGTTATTTTGGATCTCAAAAAACTTGGATCTAGGAGTAAAAATTGTTTTCTTGAGGACCTGACAAACAAGAGAAACTGCGTGACTTTGTATTTATCACTAGTTGCCGCAATGAGCTTTGCTACAGATTTTTGTCTGTCTCTATATCTTGTACGAGGTTTGCATGATAAATGGCCTGGAAAGTATTGTGTTGAAGACGTCTCGTAGATTGATCAAGACAATAAAAAAAGTAAGATTCACAACTTTTAATAAATTCAAATATATATGTCCTTAAAAGTTTTGCACAGGCTCACAACTTTCGTGTCTTATGCACTATCCAATTTGAACTCGCCCACGTGTTTTTTGAACTTATTTTCAAGCTTGCATCTGGGAATTCTGGTGGAGTAGATGCAAGAGAATCTATGAATGTGATTTTGAAAAGCATGCCTATTAAGTCTTTGTACATTACACACAGAGCCTGATAGTATTCGTCCCTGCTTTCAGTATTCAAGTTTTCTGAACAGTTCTTGCTCACTCGAAATAATTAAGAAAATTGATTCGAGTGATTTTCATTTTGACATTCATTTCATAAACACGTATAAGTTGGTATAAAGACTGCTCCCCGTAAACAATACTAGAGGAGAAAAAATCGAAGCTTTGCCTTTGGGACCCTAGCTTAATGTCCGAATATGTTTCTTACTTCATGTATAAAGCTGACAGTGGTGGCAGTACTAATGTTGAACAACGAATGGAAGACATCTGTAGCAAAGTTGATTATGAAAGATTCAAGACCTCTTTTTGAAAGGTCTTGCGTATCAGACTCAGATCTTTCAGCAAATCTCTTGGTAAATGTAAAACCGAGTTCTTCTTCCCATTCCTTTTGATCTAAGCTATAGTAGCTCAAAATATAATCAGATGCCTCATGGGCAGATTTCACCAAAGCCTTAAAGCCATTAATGACTTCTAAATCGTTGACTTTGTCCACTTCAGCATCTGGGGTGGCTCTCTTCTCAATAGGAGAAGCAGCAGGCAAAAGCAGCAAAACCGAAAGCGAGGATAGTGGAGAGTCTCATTGATAGACAGAAGAGAATAGTTGATAGTTTGGTGATGAGAAAATTAATATGAATATGTGACTCCATCAGCTCTTTATATACTTTTTCTGTAGCGGGGTTGCAGGCAAAATTTTATAAGTCACATTCCTGATCTTAGATTGTCGTCTCTGTCGCCATTTGCATCCACAGACGAAAGTTTTGTTGAGTATGCAGTATGATGCAAGCTACAATCTGAAACTGATGGAGGCCATTTCTCTTCCAATGAAAGTCTCATTCACATACTATCATTGACAAAATGCGGCTAAATGTTCCTTCGAAACTAAGGATTAAGAAGAATTTAAGATTCGATCTTCATTATTATCGGGCCTATGTTAAATAGTGGTTTATTTCTGCAGCCTGTTGTTACTACATACACAAAGGAGAGAAAATTCCTCGTGTGTTTGAAGGACTGTTTCCATTAGTACTATACAGATGAGAAGAAATCAAAAAGATTGTTAAGGTATTTATAATGCGTACTACTTTGTAACAAGGCTTTTTCGCGAGCTTCCTCATACCTTTCACTTAACCGGAGACCAATACTCCACATCTATGCGCACATTCCGGTTGCGTTTCTTAAAATCTCGAGCGTCAAATAAATCGTTTGAAAGCTCGCCCTGTATACGCAAACAATTTGTTTCTATGAAATGAAAGATACAGCTTTTGAAACAAGCTTCAAATTTTTGCTTTTTAAGTAGATTAAAGGTGCATTTTCAAGTCTTTTTCAAATCAAAAAATTTGCTGACCCCGTCGAGTCTAAGTAAGTTGTGCAGACTTTCCCGGAATAGGCCCGTATATCTCCTCTTATTAGAATCAAAAAGCGACTAGAAAAATATTTCGGACTTGGTTAGTATGACTTGTTACCTCCACATCAGAATTGCACGTCTTTCTCAGCATATAGGGGTTCAAGTGCTACACGGATACCAGGCACCATGCAACCCTCACTTTTTTTAGTGCCTACAACAAAGTTTGGGTCTCTTACAAATCGTATTTTTTTAAAAACATATACTGCTTTTCTTGCTTTGGTTAAATAGCTTGTCAAGTTTCAATACAAGAATTGATGGGGTGTAATCAGCAATACTTGTTTTCAGCTGATTAATAAACACTGATTATGGGTGCCTTCACATTTCCAGGCTGATTCAGTTTCCTTAGACTAAAAAAATAAGCTTTATCAAAACATGCATTTAAATCTACGGTCGGAGGTGTCCTTATCTGTCTTGAATCTTTTGAGAATTTACAACAATGACCGCAAGAATGAGTCTTTGAACCACTGGGTATTGCTTAGCCGGTGAGGTTAGACTTGATGCACAAGCTGTTGAAAAAGAGAACACTGGTTGCAAAAATGGGGATATGTAGCGTATATGTAAAATTTGTCAACAGAGATTACTTCAGCATACGCGACTCGTGGGCTAAAATCATTCACCCATACTCCCTATAGCTGGATCTGCAATTTATTCTGAAAATTCCAAAAGCTAAGGATTTCAAATAAGGACAACGTTTGAATTCAAGCAACCGTCAAGGCTTAAGTATCATAAACAACACTCAGAATGAAATGGTAGAACACCATGTGTACTAAGAATCAGAATTATTCCGCATGTGTGGCGTCTCTTCAGACCCATATTATACCAATGACCAAACAAATTGGCTTCCTCTTCTGGTATTACTCAAACTTGCAATAATCGCAAACAAAATAATTCACACCATTTCCGGTATCGATTTTTCCGCAGAGTGCTTTTTGCATTACAGTTTTTCAAACCATAGTTGATGAGAGGAGTGAAGAGTTAAAAAAAATACTTAAACAGTCCGAAATACGTACCTAGTGTTTAAAAGCGTACTCTTCCGGTTTTTATGAAATGAAAAACTATCATCGCACGCATCTTCTCTGTATCAGATTCTCCTTTACGATGTATTAGGACAAGGCATCTGCTGTAGCCAGGTTAGTAAGTCAATCCAGAAGGACTAAGAGAACTTGATGAGCATACGATTTGCGACTCGTCACATCTTTGAATAAACACATTGAGTATCATGGGGACAAGCCAAATTTATTTAGTTCCCCAAAAAGTTGTTGGCCGGAGCCAACACCTCGTTTGAACACACGGGCTTAGAAAATTTTAGCACTTTCCACCAGTTTTAATGTGATTCAAGGTTGTTGTAGGGATAGATAAGTAAAGCTTCGGTGGCTTCTCCGTTCTTATGGATTTAGAGTGTGCAAAAATGATACTGGAACTCTGATTTTCTCGTAGTAGAATTTTGCGGGCACGTATGATCCGATAGGTGTATCAGCAACCATATTCTGGGATATGAGATGCCAAAACCATTGTCTGTGCCCACTAAGCAGGGTCAGTAGTTCAAAAATAATATGGCTTGGCTGAGCCTATAGTTTTGAATCGTGATTCGCCGAGATATTGCTTGACAATTGAAGTCAACCTAGTCATGTTCTCGAGCAATAGTACGTTTGATCAAATCTTTATCGCCATTGTAAAGCTGGCAAGTACGTTGGTCCCTAAACCTCGGCTTATAAAATCAGGGCCCTGGTAACCCAGTTGCGAGGCTGGCTGTGAATCTTATCTGGTTGAAACCTTTTTTTGGGATACCCTAATATGTTGACGGGTCTTTGAAAAATAGGATTTGTGCAATCTGAGGTGATCCCGTTGATTTTTGAAGTAACTTCGTCCAGAAGTGAAATATTTTCGTGGCGTATTAAGCTATTGCTCAATCCCCCGAATGATGTGATTGAGTTTTCTGTGAGACCATATGTGAATCTACTGCCTAGTACCTTAATCCTATACCTTTTACCTCCTTTCCTTGTGAAATTCTTGTATATGGCTCCATTCTGAAGCCTGAGTTTTGTGTCTTCCACCGGAATGCTTCCTGTCCCCCTACTTGTTCAAAAGGTATGAAAAGTTCCTGTGTTAGACTTTTTGGTCCTTCTATAAATGACTCGTTGATAATCCGCCCAGTATAGCTCGAACTACATAACGGCCATGACTGTGAGAGATTTTCTACCTGTCATCTGTACGCCCGGTTCAGTGCCGATAGTGTTTTGTAGTTTTGATGTCATGAACATTCAACCAGTTTGCATCCCAGGATAACTCAGGTCAGAAAGTCCTTCATCAGTCATCTGCTATCTTCACATTAAAGATTCTTGCTTTGAAATCACCCCCTGATTCTCACCGGGTTTCCTGTGTGCTATCCTGGTCCAGTAGCATATTAGACGCCTGGTCCAGAGTCTTATCGGATGCTTGGTCCAGGCCCCTGTTCAACACTTTATTAGATGCCGTATCAAAAGTCTCATTTGAAGGACTTTGCGTAGTCTCATCAGCATGTGGCACTGACTCTTCGTCGTTAGATACAGCGTCTTCGGCATGCACCCATTTTTTCATGAACTTCACGAGTATTTGGGCCGTAAACACTTGCTCAGCTTGGTATAGAACTAGCGGTACGAGCAAAATTCCTAGTTTCGCATTAGTGGCCCCGTACTCTGCGGATATTAGTGAGACGCCTAGTGCAGCTGTCTTCGCAGGTCCACACAACATCATGGACACGGTATCTCGACGGTTATAATAAAAAGGGCGCAAAAACTTATAGCCCCACGTGTATGCTTTTGTCGATTCTGAGGTGGGCTCTGTAGGAAACCACCATAGAATGAATGGTGGTCGCAGGTAGAAGTATACGAGCACGGTGAAAAAGAGGTAAATGCCAATGTTAAAGAAGACCAAAAAAATGATCGATGCATGGCTCACAGACGTAAAAGCGTCCTGCGCAAAAGCCGTCGAAAACGACTGGTACATGATTAAAAGCAACATGAATGAGCCGACCTTGTTTAACTTGAAGGTTGTCAAGCACCATTTCGTTTGTTTTGGAAAGATGTTCTGCACGACCTGGCCCACGAAAAGCGGCACAAACACAGAAAGCCCGATTTGTTTCATCACATTCGCATATAGCTGCAGAACGCTGATCCCAGCCTCGTAGGTGGGATTTCCAAACTCCCAAGTTCCCGTCAAATACATCTGCACCAAGGCCGGGGTGATAAAAGCACCTAGTAAATTGCCAATAAGAACCTCGCAAACTGTGAGAACATGGTTTCCGTCTGCAGCCTTTGTCATCACGACATTTGAAGAAACAGTCGTTGGGCAGCAATGTGTCACGATGAGCCCGACTAAAAGCCAGTTATCGATCGCAGAATCTTGCGCTGCCTTGATTCCAGAAACTATTCCATAAATTATCGAAGACGTGATCAAAAAAGAAGAGGTCAAAACGGTGAAATGGGCACGCCAGTGGGACAAATTAGCCGCAAACTCTCGGCTACTAATCGAGAGTCCGGAGATAAGGAAAATCACTGCAACAGCGCCATATCCGATCGAATACTCGGCCTTAATAGTGCCTCCTTGCTTGGCGAAGCTGGGCCATCGCCACGCAAGCACGATGAATACTGCTAGAAGAATAAAAAACCATTGTGCAAGAAGAAAATCAAAGACCTTCCTACCGGTTTTATAGGGCTTCGAATCCCTGAAAGCTTGGGCCATGTCCAGATGGCACGAGATTGCAGAAAATGTGGAAGTGTATTAAAAGACAAAGTCCGCCTTTCAACCAGTATTTATGCGAAATGTGTAGTTGTGTACGGCTCGAAGCAAGACAGACCTCGGAGTTTTCCACGCCCCCGAGCATCTCAATGATAAGTAGTCACGTGAGTGAGCCACAGAGGCGAGACATGACTGATTCTACCGAGGAGTGCGAGGCAGCAATATGGAGTGCATACTGGCTCGCGCCACAGCATCTGATCGCATGGAGAGAAGGGGCATGCATTCTCAGAGTTGAAATGGCTCGTTCTAGTGCTGGGCGCATAGTCGGCTAAAATGTACCGACAGTCGTTTCGGAGACCAATTGCACAATTTTGTACTCAAAACGACAAATTCAGGCACTGTGAGGCGGACCCACAGCCCATTTTACCGAAAGCTCACTAATAAGACTCGGTGCCTGAGATCATCGCACTGCTGGCAGGGCCAGCATGCATAGCATTTGTCTTCCGAATTGGGAAGGATGTAAACAAGAAAAAAGCTGGCGGAGAAAGCAAATGAGACAGACTTCTACGAGTGCACAGAGCAGAAGAATCCACGAAAGAACATACTGCTTCAAAACCACGCAAGCATTGTTTTGATTCAAATTTGGGCCATCCATATCACAAGAACACCAATATCCTAACTGCCTCATATTGGCTACCATCCAGAATACTACACCACACCCGCCATGCCCGTCCCAGAAAAAGCTTTTGTCAATCTGTTCTGGGGGCACAAGGACGACGGCTTTGCTGCCATACAGATGAAAATCAAGACATCGCTCCGGACGGTCCACGAACTTCTCAATTTCTACAAAGAAAAAATCGCCATTGAGAAAGACTACAACAAACGACTCAGCAAGCTCTCCTCGGCCATGACGTTGGGATCGGGCGAAACTGGCAGCTTGAAAATCGCGCTAGACAAGTTACAGAATGAGTCCGGCAATATGATTGTCCAGAACCAACATTTCATTTCCAGTGTGCTGCTGCAGAACTACGAAAAGCTCCATCAGTTCTACCAGATGTACCACAAGAACACCGCCAAAATCGAAAGCCACATGCTAAAGGTGCTTCAAAAAAAGAAGGACCTTGCGCTATATCTTGAAACAGCCAAAGAGAAGTTCCGGGTTGCATGCAGCCAGCAGAAAACACTAACGCTTCTTTGCCAGACGACCTGGGGCAAGGAGCTCGAAAAAAACACAGCCAGATTACACAAGGTGCAGCTGAGTTTGCAGGTCTGCGAGACGACATACCAGCAGGCAGTGCAGAAGTACGCCGAAATCCACGGAATCTGGGTCCGCGACTGGTCCATATCCTTGCTGAACATATACCAGTTGGAAATCGAGCGGATCCAGATATGCAAGCTCAATTGCTTTGCGTTTTGTAATCACGTGGCCTCCTTATGTGTGGAATGGGACCTGGCCGTTGATAATGCCCGCTCCACCTTTGCCAGAATTGGGGCTCCTAAAGATGTGTCTGATTTTGTTGATGGCTACGGCACAGGCAGCCGAATCCCAGTGCCTCCTGTCTATGTGGATTTCCTCAACGGATACGACGACGACGATTCTCCCAAGTTCACCGTGGCAGAGTTCAAGGACCCGGACTACTCGCACATTTTATCGAGAACCTTCTCCACCCATTCCACAGTGATCAGCAAAACAAACGGGGCTGAAAACGACCCCCAGCAATCCGTCGGCAGCATGCACCAATCAGCGTCCATGTCTGCTGTGCATTCTGCCAACGGCATACCGGCACAGAAAATGCAGACCAAGCCCGTTGCTAAGAAATCGCCGCCGCCAATCGAAAAACCACTTCCACCAACTGCAGATCAAGTGTCGGCAAAGAAAAACGCCGCAAGCACGCTACTTAATATACCGGGAGGTCATGCCAAAAAACTAGGCGAAGCACTCCAAAAACAGCCCTCCCACAACAGCAACTACACGTCGGCAACAGAAGATGTTTTTGACAAGCAGCCCCACATGCACAACTCTAACACTCTGTCGGACTACTCGCTGCCAACGAATTACTCGGGCCACACCGGGCGAAGCTGGTCTTCTCCGCGTAAGAGACTGCCGCAAGACGTGCAGAAAGAAATCAACCGCCGCCTGCAAGATGTGTCGGAGGCTTTTGCCGCGCCGCCTGCCACGCACAAGCAGGAAAAGCGCAAAAGCGTGCCCATCGCCAAGGACTTCCTGATTGACTTCATTGCCAAAGCTTTGGAGGACCTCAATGCCGGCGGCGATGGTGACATGAACCGGTTCCGCCGGTCTGTGCGTCTAGAAAGCGAGACTGCAGCAGATCACCATGCCGAGCCTCTTCCTGCACTGGACTTTGTGGACGATTCAACTGAGACTGCAAGGCGCTTTGATTCCATCAAATTCCGCTCCCCCGGAAGTAAGCTGAACTCGCACACGCTGCCTGCCAGATCTATGCCTTATACCGTGACTGACGACAACTCTCTAGATACGGTGGTCAAGAAAGCGCCGGCAAATGCAAGCCCCATGCAGACGCGCTCGTTGCTGCAATCGCCCACGAAATCGTACATGAACTTGCTGAAAATCGTGGCTCAGATGACGCCCGTGACACGCAATAAGTACGAGACAAAGGCCGTGGCCAAGTATAACTACGTGGCACGTGAGCAGGGCGAGCTCTCCTTCAAAAAAGGGTGGCACATGTTCATTATCCACAAGCAAGAGGATAACTGGTACGTGTGTGAGTTGGGTGAAAACTGTGGCAAGGAGCGCGGCTCGGTTGGGTTGGTGCCATATAATTATATCGTGGAGGGCGACCGGGTATTTTGAACAGGGTGGAAGAGTGGTTGTGGCGCACAAATCGACCAGTGGACCACAGGTGCCGTATCTGGTCAACTTTCTAAACCCAGGTGTTCTGCAGGGCTCGTATTCCTGTCTTTCGCCGTTTCTTCTCTACCGTCTGGCCGTATTGCCATCCAGCTTTTATTGCGTTTTAGATACACGCTTTTTGCAGCCGTACTATGCGAAATAGGATATCCGCCGTATTTGATACCTTGAATTACACCACTTAGGACAAGCTGCTGGCAACATGAACAAATTGCCGATGAGCTTCAAAGAAAGTTGTGCTTTCCCATTATTATGTGACGTGATCCACAGCTGCAGTCAGCTAAACCTTTACATTGGCGAGACCGGGTGGCGTCGCGGGAGGCGACGGCGCCCCATGCACACTGCACCACCATGCGCCAAGCATATAAAGATGGAACTGCCGTATCTGAAGCATAAAACGCATCAAGAAACGCCACGCTCACTGTCCTCCATGCCTTCTAAGGACTTTACGCTAACCAAAAACCCTCCCTATGACTTGACTGATATTCCACCTCTCGTCATCGGCGGAGCCGTGTTCAATACCCAGTACTCCGAGGATCCAGAAAGCATGCCCATCAGGGACATTTTGAGAGTGGCGTTTTCCAAAGGCCTCGTTGCACTTGACACCTCTCCATACTACGGAAAATCCGAGGAATTGATTGGTAATGCGTTGAGCCAAATCAGCGACGAGTGGCCCCGTGAAAAGTACTTCATCTGCACAAAAGCAGGCCGCATCAGATTGAACGATTTCGACTACTCGCGAGACCTGGTGCGCAAGTCCGTTCTTAGGTCCTTGCAGAGATTGAGAACATCGTACTTGGACTTGGTGTATTTGCACGACATCGAGTTTGTCTCCGAGCAACAGACGTATGAAGCGTTGAAAGAACTTGTGGCCTTAAAGAAAGAAGGCGTGATTCGAAATTTCGGTGTCACGGGCTACCCTGTGGATTACTTGTTGAAAATTGCCATGGGAAGCAAAAACGAATACGCAGGTGAAATCGGGCCCCTCGATGCCATACTCTCGTATTCCAATGGGTGTCTTCAAAATACGAAATTGTTTGAGGCGCACGACAGGTTCATGATGGAAGCAGGCGTCAGAAAAGTGTTCAACGGCTCAATTCTAAGCATGTCTCTTCTTCGGTCTGGAAAGACGCACGACTTCCATCCAGCGCCACTGGCCTTAAAAGGTACATGTGACCAGATTTCCCAAAGGCTTTTGGAGCAGGATCAAGTGGAGCTTGCCGAGTTGGCCACCAAATACGCCATTGAGAAAAGTTTGTTTACGTCTAAAACTGACGAAGAGAACAGGTTGGTTTGGAACAAAGCTTGTTCTGTTGTCTTGGGCGTATCCAGTGTGGAGGAGTTGACGTCTGCAATCCAGGGCTACGAACACGTGCAGGCCAACAACAACTCGAATGACCACCAGTTGTATGAGAGGGTGCAAAGGGAATTGGGGCCCGAGCACTTAAATGAGACGTGGCCAAGCGGAATTGACCATTGATCCAGTAATATTTTTCTTCGTCCCATAGTCCAAGAGATGTGATGTTGATGTGTGGCTGGACTTGCGGAAAGGGTATCGTTTGTTCAGTATCTAAACCAGGCTCACTTTATTACTTTCCATCTGGCTGTGCTGGAGGGGCTCACGTGACGCGGGCCGTTCTGTAGATCGCACCCTGCTAATATGCGAATGGTAATAATAAAATCGTAAATGTGAAGAGCTACCATGTGATTTTCGAAAAAAATCTTCTCTTCTCGCCGCCTTTGAATGTCCGAGGGCTGTGAATTGCTTGATAGGGTACAGCTCACGATTCCTCGCCAACGCCCTATCTGCAGTCGCGAGGACCGCAACATGTATTGCCAAACGCGTTCTGAGGGCGACTTTGGAGACCTGTTCTTCGCTTTTCTTGACAATGGCTTACCCAACCAAAGCAGCGAAGCGCACAGCGCCAAGCGAAGAAAACGTGGAATCGGTTTTTGAGCTAGACGCCAAAAAGCAAGTCACTGTTCGCAAGTTCAACGGCATCAACTTGGTGGACATCCGCGAGTTTTACATCGATAAAAACACACAAGAGAAAAAACCGGGGAAAAAGGGAATCTCCCTAACAGCTGCGCTGTGGAGGAAGTTGCTTGATCAAAAGGATGAAATCGACAAGGCTTTGGGCGCATTGGATGGGGAACCTAAGAAGGCAAAGAAAGATGAAAGCTCCATGCCGGCAGACGGTGGCAATGAAGCTAAGGCAGAGGAATCGGAAGCCCAAGGCGAGGAAAAATGATCCTGAAATCTCCTGGGATTGAGCGACCGTTAGATGCACTTGCCGGGCGCAGAGGAACAAAAATCAATAGAAATTGAAAACAAAAGACAATCAAGGCGGAATGCTTCATCCCGCCAATCCGCTGAGTTAGTAGTCTGACACTTATTGTACGCGGGAGGCCTGCATCTTTCCAGTCCAAGCAATTTTGTTCATATAATTCCAGCGCGATACGGGAAGAGATCGAACTAGGTCTCTCTCCGGATAAGCTTCGTGTGTAGAGACGGAACATGCAAGGAGTATAGGGCGAGCCCAGAGGCACCATCAAAATGGTTTATGACGCCACCGCCACCGCTTTACCGGCAGCGGGAATTTTGCTCGACAACTCTGATACCTTTGCACGCCTGTACAAAATCAGGCGCCGGTATACCGAGTTTGCTTGCTTCCAGACGAGAGCAGCCTGTTTCAAGCTGGCGATCGGTGTCATATTTCATAACACGTGAGGGTGCATTTGAAGTCTTCAACCACAGCTGCAAGCCTCGCCCACAGATGCAGAGGCAAACGCAAACCGTGGTGCCGATAGACGCCTTGCGCAGCTGCACAGCAATTTGCGTCCAGAAGCGTGCTGGCGCGCGTCTTCGCATACAAGCCGCCCAGTTTCGAAACTAGCATGAAACGCGCCTAAAAACAGCCGGGTGCGCGCTGGCATCAGCCCCGCCCAGAAACAACTCCGGGGCCGTCGCGTGAGCCCATCCGCGTCACGTGACACCACGCCCCCGTGCACTCTCTTGCTGCTGCACACTGGTCAGCTCATCCAGAGTCAACCACTCCGTCTTTTAGGTACAAGTTTGGAAGCCTCCAAAGAAGGTACGTCGTGTTTGTTTGCAGCCATACCACGCAGCACAAGCCGGTCATAGACATTGTGTCCCCGGCCATCCACAAGAGTACCCGTGTATTTCTGGTACATCGGAAACCCCCATATTCAGGCCAGTTTCTGTGAGCGCCAAAACACCTTTTTTTTTTTTTTTGCAGCCCAGATCATGACGAAAAAACTGCGGGCGCGCCATAGGCGGCGCGGCCACAACGAGCCACAAACCCAGGCCGAGCCCCGCGGCCTGCAAAACCGGGGTCATGAAAACCGGGGCATGCCAAACCGCGGAAATCACCACCGCGATGTCGAGGACCAAGGCCCGGAGCCCCGCAACCCCGGAAATCCTGGCCGAGATTCCCACAGCCCTTCGGCCTCTAGTGTTCCCAGGTCGAGTACTCTTGGGACGGCCGCCGGTTCGGCAACATCTCCACGTAGACACCCGCACGAGAACACCCGCGTGCCTTTGACTGGCCGCAACCTTCAAACGTTGCTCGAACAAAGCGACCCGGCGTTTCGCAGCCGCGGCTCTGCCGTGGCGCTCGACATGGATCCCTACGACCAGGCGCATGGCCACGGGCATGACGACGTGAGTTTGTACAGCCACGATTCGCGCAAGCTGCTGCTCGAGTTTGGTGAGCTGAACCCGCTGCTGGACCACCTGAGCGACCTGACAAGCTTGGACGACGTGTGCTTTCCGGACTACTACGAGGGCCGCCGCGAGGGTGGCGCCACAGAAAACACAATGTGGCCAGACTTGTCGGTGCTCGAGCAGTACATTGTTGAGGAGCAGGAAGACTTGAAGGAGGCAATGGCGGATGTTCCGGCCGGCGTCAACTTCCAGTATCCCGTTGCCCGCCAGGCGCCATCGATCGGGGAGTACGCACGTGACCCGTTGCTCCAACCACCCGTGCCGTGGCGCAGCGTCTATTCCGAGAATGTGCTGCCTTCCAATGAAGAATCCCCGTTGCTCAACAGCGTGCACGTGGACGAAACAGAGCTGGTGCGTCTGACAGGCCTGTCGTTGCGCGTGCGCCCGAAGGCCATCCAGCCCTGGGAAAAGTCTCGCGAGCACGTTCCCACGATCCTCAACAAGAAGAATCCCGAGGCTGAATATCGCTTCACGTATTTCCGCGAGGACATCGAAGGCACGCTTCATGCGCCCACACTTTCAGGCCTTGTGGCCACAGACCAGCCGCACGTGCCTGGCGAGCAGATCCTCGCGAAGTTGCACGAGTTGTTTTCACCCAGTAGCACTGTGGTCTCCGCGGGCCAGGGAGTAGACAGCGAGATGCCTCCCTCGGCTCTGGGCACGGCTTCCCACTCAAGAGACGTATCCCAGAGGCTCGACTCGCCCATGCCGCTGGTATCTGAACACCCCGCATCTGCATCCGGAAATTCGGCACTTGGCGAGAAGCATGTAGCACCGTTCTGGCTTGACGTCACAAACCCGCTGGAAGAAGAAATGAAGGTCCTTGCAAAGACGTTTGGACTCCACCCGTTGACCACCGAGGACATATTTCTTGGCGAGACTAGAGAAAAAGTCGAATTGTTCCGCCTGTACTATTTTATTTGTTTCACGTCCTTTGACATTGTCTACGAGCGCCGCAAACAGCGCGCAATGGAGCACGAGAAGAAGCTCACCAAATTGATGGAATATGATCTGGATGGGAGCAGCATCACGCAGCGCAAGAATGGGCTTTTAAAACGTGTCAAGCGCCTTTTTGGCGATGGGTCCCGCTCGGGGAGGCCCTCTTCCAAGATGTCCGTGGGGCAGTCAACTATATCCCGAAATAACCGCATTCGCAGCGGCGAGTTGTGCCCCTTGAACATGTACATGATTATTTTCGAGACGGGTGTTTTGACGTTCCATTTCAATGCTACACCGCACCCAATCAATGTCCGGCGTCGTGCACGTATGCTAAAGGACCACTTGACAGTTTCCACCGACTGGATTTGTTACGCGTTAATTGACGACATCACAGACTCGTTTGCCCCTATGATTGACAGCATTGAGCACGAAGTGTACAACATGGAAGATGAAATCATGCGGATGCATTCGGGCGACCTGACTGACTCCGACCTGGAAGGTGAGGACTCAGACGACGACCGCAGTTACCTCGAGCGCCGGCCTACAAAACAATCCAACGACGTATTCTACAGAAGGCAGCGCTCCAAGTCCATCGTGGACGCGCCTCAGGCCCTGCAATTCTTGCGCAGTAGGGGAAAGAGAGGCTCCGGAGCCGAGTTCTTGTCCATTGGATCTGCGAGATCAACCCGCACCAAGTCATCTGCATCGAGCTCCCAGTCAACGCTGTCCAAAATCGTCGCGTGGAAGCGTAAGGGTGATATGTTGAGACGTATTGGCGAATGCAGAAAACGTGTCATGTCCGTGATGCGACTCTTGGGAACAAAGGCCGACGTGATCAAAGGCTTTAGCAAACGTTTCAGTGAAAACGAGACGATTTCGAGCCCCAAAGGACCGCTAGAATCAAAAAACAACCGGTTGGCGCTGAAACAAGAAATTTTGATGTACCTTGGTGACATCCAGGACCATATTGTCACGATGGTGCAGTCGTTGAACCACTACGAAAAGCTTTTGGCCCGGAGTCACTCTAATTACTTGGCGCAGCTCAACATTGACATGACCAAGGTCAACAACGATACCAATGACATCTTGGGCAAAGTCACCATTCTCGGTACCATTGTGTTACCCATTAATGTGGTCACCGGGTTGTGGGGTATGAATTGTATTGTGCCAGGACAAGACTATGACGGCTTGATGTGGTTCAACGGCATAGTGATGGCCATTTCCATGTTTAGTATCATCTGCTATATCTACGCCAAGAAGGTCACAGGACTATGAGTTGATTGAGAATACACATTCACACAGAACATGAGGGCTTGAAGAAAACCTAGAGTTGTCGGATAATGTCCTTGCACAGGGCGTCGACCGCAGGATGCAAGAAGTACATATGCATTATCAAAATCGGAGACGCATGCCTTTATCAAGAGTTACACCAGGTGCAGGGAACGGTCAGGGGAGGGACTGTGGATCTCGCCTGTTGTTGGTATGCGCACGCCCTTGCTATGGTGCGCTTCACGTGTGCTCTAAAACATGGAATCGGACAGCAGCGCAAGCACCCAAGTTTCTGGTCCATACCATCACCCATCAACAAGCATCATCCAAAAACACATAACATGTCTATTCAAATGGCCATGGTCTTTGGTGCCCTTGTGGCACAAATGGCGGTCATTGCCCTTTTGCTTTTACCCTTACCACATATGATCCGGGCAAAGATTGTTCGTGGGTGGGCAGCGTTGCGCCAAAATGCCAACTACAAAGTCGGGCTGCTATTTGTTTCTGGTTTAATGGTTCTTCAGTTTGCTGACTGTGTACAGAAACTACAGAAATACCTGAGAAGAGAAAGCCCAGAAGCTGTGCTCAACCCAAGTATGGGTGTTGGGCTTCTGTCCGACAAGCTTGCATCCAAATTTTACGCCCAGCGCAATTTGTATTTGAGCGGTGCAGTTCTTTACTTGGGCCTCACGATTCATACGGTGCTTCTGATAATGGGCAAGTTGGTGGCGAAAGAGGTCCTTTGCCGTAGTGCACATAACGAGAACACCAAGGATGATTCTGAAGAAATCGTGGCTTTGAAGGAGACCATCCGTAAACGTGAGGTGGAAATTGCGGCCATGAAGAAGCAAATTGAAGGTGTGCAAAAAGCATACGACGGTTTGAGTGCTTCTTCTGAACGCTCTAAGGACGACTGAACCTGTCATTCGATGCAGGTGTGCACATGTGAAGCAGGTTACAAGTACCTTCTAATTTAATATCAGAGAGGTCTTACTTGATAGGTCAATATGGAATAGGTGAGAAAAATACTATCAAAAATCTTCAATCCTTTACAACCATCTGAGTTGAGACGGCTACTACAAGAGGTTATTTTAGGAATCGATGACGTAATACTAAGGGGACCGTCCAGGTTAATGGAAGAGGACGGTCCGAGTTTCGACAATATGTACGTATCTTGGGGCTTCCTGAAGACTTTTATATATCATTCTATAGCTTTGCTAATTCTGCAAAAAAAAAAAAAGAAGAACGTTTACAACACCACAGAATATTTCGCGCAAATTCTCAAATTCAAGTCACTCTGCCGCTTTTTATTCCAAACATGTAACCACCCCCCAAACATGTAAACAAAACTTTACTCCAAAAGCGTATACTATATGACCCGATAGTAGCTTACAAATTGCTTTAGAACCCCTTTATTGTAACTGTTACAACTTTTTAATACTGGTCATCCCGTATATTCAAGGCTTGCTCAGGGCTGGCTGAGTGCAATGCAAGGCTGGCATCATAGGCATGCGCCTGTACCATGTAAGATGTGCGAATCCTTAATAATCTGCATTTCACGAGTACGCACAATCCAAAACGTCAGACGCAAAGAATCAAAAGCTAAAATTGCCCAAGCAACATCGCTTAAGTCCACAATGTAGACGAGATTCGATGACTGATTTAACGCGTATTTTATCCGGAAATATACTTTAAATAATTTATACAATTACACTACTTATACAATCACGCTCATTTTTTCTCGGACTTCTTATCATCCTTGAGAGATAGTGAGACCTTTTGGGGATGACTTTGGATCTGTTGAGGCTGTTGACCCTGGGTATGAGGATGACCGCCGCCCTGTGGATGTTGCAGGTACGCGCCATACGAAGAGTACACTGGGGCTTGTGCGTATGAGGAGTAGTTGGCTCCCGTGGACCCGCTTCCAGCACCCGCGCCTGCTTGGTTGTACGGGTAATACTGGTTGTAGTAAGGCTGCTGGGTGTATCCATAAAGCTGCTGTTGGGCAGCGAGCTGCTGTTGCTGGGGAACGCTACCTGGGCCGGCAGCGTCTCCCATTGAGCCAGACGCCGACTGGAGGTATTGAGAAGGGTATTGCTGGTAGTAACTGGCACTCATGTTTCCAGCGTTGGCTGCGGACGAGGCAGGGTATGCAGAGGCAGAAACTGATGGGGCCTTGGCCGCTGCAGCGGCGGCAGCAGCAGAGGTGGAAGGCACGACTGGGGCTGCGGAGGGCGCGGCCAGAGACAGAGCGACGGGAGTGATACCGGTCTGGATGACTTTCTTGATGTCACGTACGAACAACGGATACAATAAGTCCACAATACGCTCACGCTGAGCCATGGCAAGCGCACGGTCGAATGGGATCCACACGCCCTTCAAGTGCATGGAGCCAATCTTCACCACGTGACGGATCTTCTCCAGCTTCAAGATGCCGTCACGGCGTCCACGGGTCATTTGCGCCACGTTCAAAAGCTTGGTGCCGTTGATCATGTTGTTGTCCGCACGGCGAACAACACTCACGTTGTTTGCATCCACTTGGTAGCACAAGGTCTTCTCGTCCTCCCACATGGTGGTGGTCACGCGCGGCCGGATTCCAGCGGGCTGGTACTGGCCCACAGTGGAGTTGGGCGGCAAGGATAAGCCGTCGCCAGCCGCGTTTTTGGCAGAGGCGGCCGTGGATGACGTTTGTCCTGTCGAAGCAGACGAGGATCCGGGAGCACCGGTTTGCGAGTTGGGCGCCGTGCCCAGCGACGACGCCGGCACGGGCGTCTGCGAGGCGGCCAGTGGCTGCGTGGGTGCGGCGTAGAGCAGCGCCAGGGGCAACGTCGAGCTTGTGGCGGCAGACCCAGAGCCGACCGAGGCCTGTGGCGCCTGTGTGTTTTGCTGGTACATGGCGTACTGGCCGTAGGGTGCCAGGGCCGCGCCGGCTGCGGACCCGTAGCCCGCGTAGTGGTTGCTGTAGTCTGCAGTCAGCTGCTGCGATTGCTGCGGGCCCAGGCCGCCCGACTGTGAGTGCTGGGGCTGTTGCTGCTGATACTGTGAGTACAGCGTTTGTTGCGCCGACGCTTGTTGCGCGGCCTGCTGGGGCTGTTGCAGCAGCAGCAGCAGAGGCTGTTGTTGGGGCTGTTGCTGCAGTTGTTGGTGCAGCAGCTGCTGGCCAGGTTGCACTTGTTGGTTGTTCACCATGTAGTATTGGCCATAAGGCTGCTGCGCGTATTGCGCGGCCAGTTGTGCCTGCAATTGCTGCTGGGTCAAAGGCTGCAGAGCCTGGTTCTGCGATTGTGGCTGCGCCTGGCCGGATTGTGGCTGGCTGCCGCTCATATATTGGTGGTACGGGTAGTGTTCCAGCCCGTAATATGAGTTAGGGATTTGGGAGTACTGCTGCGTGGACATTTCTGCGGGGCTCAAAGGAGGCGCGTTCTGGACAGAAAAAAGGGCGGCAAAAAAGGCGGCAAAAAAACGGTGGGCAGTTCACAAAAAGCGGCAAAACAGGGCAGGAGGAAAGGCCTTAGGGAAATTCTCACGGGGGTTCTAGCCTTTTTCTTGCTGGCTTTGACTTGACTCGTTCACAGGGTGCTGTGAGCGTTTGTTGGCGTTTTGTGTCGGCGTGTAAACGGGGTTGCAGACCAAAACACAAATGCAAACAACAGCAAAATCAGCGATTCAAATCAAGGAAAGGTGCAATTGAGTCTTTCTCACAAAGTACACGTTCTGGCCTGGCTAGGATACAGTTCTGCTTAGGTGTTTGTTTGTTCGGCGTCCTCGGTGTTCAGAGCACAAAAAACAAACAAACAACAATCACAAAGATTAGCCGCGGACTAGTCTGGAAGGACGGAAAGCGGACAAAAAATGTGGCGAGGGCGGGATTTGGGCAGCAGCAGGCTATGGGGCGTGCTGGCGAAAATCGGTGTGGTTTTCTTTGTCTTGTGGCGGGAACAAGTGATAAGAAAGAGGGTGTTGATAATGAACGACTAGGCACAAAAGGAAAAAAGAGCGGACCTCATGTAGCGCAGCGCACGTTGGCAGATGCACATGATGTGCACGCACAAGCCGTGTGCAGAAATCACCCTCGTGCAGGCACTGCACCCTGCCCATCGTAACTTTTGCGGTCTGCAATTGGCCAGACGGCATAGTGCCTCGCGAGGAGATCTCGTCCAGGTTGTGCCTTTAAGCAACTACTGGTCATGTATCCCCGCTTCCGCTATGGACCATCCTCCGGTCGGGAATGAAGGAACGTTTTATTTACCATTAAGCAGATTTTTTAGAAGTCGATGCAGCTGCTTGCTTTTGGGTAGTTGCTTGCTGCGTCGAAAACTCAGAGTTACAGTCAGCCAGAATATTTTGCGGTGTTTCTTTTGACCTCGAGCGCTCCTTTTTGTTTCGGCACCTGCATCCTGGGAAAGCAATGTGGTGCAATGCATTGCGCCATCTCTCTTGTTGGTCGAATTTTGAGAAAGTCGATTCTCCGGACTCGTGTAGGGCTTTCTTATTTCCGGAGACTTATCTGTTTTTTTTTTGTGATTCTTTAAATCAGACATGTGTATTCTAATTGACCAAATTTCCCCTTGGCGTGTCAACATAACTTACGTATCTACGTTTTTTGTACATGCTGCCGGGTAAAAGGTCAAAAAGTTGGGAATTGATAATCACTCTCTACTGCATAGGCTGCATGAGTCTGCAGATAATTGTCTCCCTATTTTCTTGGTGGTTAATGGACCTGAGCGTGAGGAGGGGGCCATATTCTGCTTAAAAAGCTCTTTATTGTTGCCATCCAATAGACATACATGTGTGCCAGAATATTTCAATCTTCAATCTATAATGACTCCGCGTTAAGATTTTGAATCTTGCATGATGTTCCATCTGTGGTTCAATGCTGATGCACTCACATGCACGGCAAGGCGTGCTTCTGAATCATACAGCGTGTTTTGAGGCCACGCTTCTACCTGCGTTTCACCCCCACTTCCCACGACGCGCTTGACTCGCGCGCAGCTTTGACCCAACGATCTATTGTTCAACGCATTCACTGCACGTTCAGTAGAGCCCCCAGGATTATCGCCAGAAAAGAAAACCACTTCCGGCATGGCTTTTTTGCTTGAATGAATTTGAAGGGCACTCTAGACACGGAGCGCGCCACATGGGCATAACCTGCCGTCACCCCTGATGTCTTGGGATATCCAAAAAAGTCCTTGGCTGAATTTCTGCATTGGGTGCACTAATTACATTATGGGGTGCCCCCGCCTGATTATCTATGTTGTATGAATTTCAAATATATGCCTTGGGGTTCTGCAAGCGTGGTCTCGTGCGTCAAAGCAGTCTGACGCTCCTCCAAGAGTTTATTTTCTCAAAGTCACTCGTGTTGCGCCTCGCTTTTGCCGCGGCGACGCGACGTGCTGGGTGCGCCGAGTGCGGCCTTCGCTTGCGCTCGACTCACGCGGGAGGCGACGCCTCACCTGTGTTGGGCCCCAAGCTCGCCGCTCTATGTACACAACACGCATCTTTGGCTGCCACGCTGGCGCAATATGGCCTGGTCACCTGACACGCGGCTTTCAGCAAGAGTTAATTGGGACTCCACAGATGCTCTTTTCTAAAAGGCGTCGGTTTGTAGTTCTTGCACGTGGCACGCACGTGCTAAACACAGAAATCACACGCAATTTTCATCGAGCCCCTGAACGCTTCTCTCGGACTACTGTGAAAAAATGAGTTCAGCACCGCTTGCACGTGACCTCAGAGGTCGGAAGGTTGGCCCCGGTACAAATCTTTGATGATTTTGCCCTCTTTGATGGTCGCCTGCACGATTCCTTGCACGTTTTCCGGAAACACCCGTTCGTACCACGTGACCGGCATTCGGCTTGGATTGGCTGGGAAGAATATCACGTTGCCCGCATATGCATGCCCACCGATGTGTGATATAAGCCCCACATCGACATTGCCTGCAATGCCTTCTCGCTCAAGCACCTTGAGGAACTCTTGCTCCAATAGCGGGGCCAACACGCCACATCGAATATCCCTTTTTGCGTGGCCGCAGATAAGCACCAAATCCTTCTGGGGTGAAGTTTCTTTGAAGAGGCCTGGATGCAACTTGCGAGTCTTGGACGTGGATTGGTCTTTTACAAACGGGTTGTACACTTCTTGCGGGGCTTCTTCGGGGAGGAGATAGTGCTCCATGAACTGCTGCACGTGATGTGGCAGGAAATCCACTTCGACGTTGTCTGGGTAAATTCTGACGCGGTGACGTTTGGTTGCATCTTGTGGCTCACCGGAAATCAGCGCGTTTGATAGCGTGACAGGATGCAAGGCACTTAGATGGTTGCGTTTCAAGATCTCAAAGTCCTGGGCCATGGACCCAGGAATGAGATTGATTTTCGACGCCATGTCCGCAAAATCGCCCACACCATGCAGCAACACAAGCACGTGTTTCCACGGTATCGGGCTAGTGCCATTCAAGCTGTGCTCGAAGTTGATTTGCTTGTCCTGGGGAAATTCCGGGATTTGGCAATGTGTGCATCCCGTGTCGTATGTGGGTTTTGGGCACGACTGGATGAATTTGGTGGCATATGTTCTGTAGGTGCAGAGGGCCTGGCGAGAAAGAGAGAGCATGGCTCAAATGCTGTGGACAAGGAAGTTCTGCAACAATTTGCTCGGTCGGCTATCATGTATGCTCATGGGTGTGCATTTATACTTTAGCGACAGACCCGCAGACGCGGGTTACTTTCGGAATTCGCACCGAATTGAGATAGCCCTTGCGGGTTCCGTGCGATGTTTTTCTCGGCATTTACGACTGTCGCCGATGACGTTCTGCATATACCCTGGCGTCGAGCTGCCACTAGTTGCGGGGTGCAGGCCACATTTTGATTAATACTACTCAATATTTGCAGTCAGGTTTCATGATGTATGGCAGATACACAGGGTAGTGCCTGAAAGATCGGTGGTGAGTGATGAAAGGTTTTGGATTGTCAGTCCTATTTTCGGCCTCTCGTTCTATGCGGTTTCATGGCTTATGTAGACAGTGGCTTAATGTCTTATTGCTTTGTCAGCGTGTTCCAGCGCATGGAGTGAAAAGAACACAGACCTGCCAGTGGTTTTCTGTACAAATATATCTCTTTCAAAAAAGTATATTACTCGTATATGAGTAATTGCTCTGTAATTACTTCCTGAATCATAGAAAGGAGTGTTTCAAGATGACATTAGTCAACTCTATTAAGAAGGTATCAATGGCAGTCACTACCCGCTTATATCGAGACCCACATTGAATCATCATTTCGGGAATATTTTGAAACGAAGCATGGTGCTTTTGCATGGTATGCAAATTAAAAGCTAGTTTTGGAGCGCACTCGAAACCAGGCCCACAATTTTTGATTAAGTGGTATGTTTTCGTGTCGTCCCAGAAAACAGACACAACTTTTGGGAAAGTTTTTTTTTTCTAGATCTTTTTTATGCTGGTTACTCGACAGAATTTTGCCTTGTGATAGCGCAGGTTGGTTGTAAGCTTTGACGAAACTTCTAACTCAAGTGGGATTCTCCACTTCCAATGGATGAATCATAGAGGAAACAGATGCCAGTGCTCGATTTTGTGATAGGAGCAGCTGCTTTGGTAGGCGAGGTATTAGAAGTAACAACAGTCTCTCAAGTTGAAAAACCAGGCAGTGTGGGGGCTTTAAACCATTGCTCTTTCTAGCTCTACCTTGTGAAATCAAGTTGCTTTCTTAGAAATAGCAGATCTTACATTTGTAAAAACATAAATGTAGTCGAGGCATGGTTTATATCGTGTAGCCTTGTAAATTAGATGCATGCGCTCTGAGTATAGCGAGGCATTGACAGCATCCGTCTATCTATTATAAGCACCTTCAGGTCTCCCAGAACCTTGGCAGATACAAAGCGCCAGGAAACCGATCTAAACTTTGCCCACTTCCTGTTTCCTGTACACGTCCGATCGGGAAAGATCCAGTTCCCAAAAATCTATAACCCAGAGATTCATAGCTCTAAAATTAAGGACCCAGAGACACAGCCCAGAGACATATACCGCAGAGATATATACCGCAGAGAGACATAGATCTGAAATTGAGGACGCAGTGACACATTTCCCGGAGAGACATGATGACTGTCAAATGGCCGATTACCAGAACACCGCCATTACTTGCCAGCTGTCTCTTAACCCGTCTCCTCGAAAGTAGCCTTTAATCTCCAGCCCTTAGCCTCAGAATCCCAATTTGCGGCCTCCCGAAGCAAAGAGCGGACCGTGACCATTTGCGTCTCGTTGTTGGTGTCCACGGATTCGGGCAAGCTCTGCAAAATGGCATTGGACTTGCTGAACCGGTCCGGCTGCCGCGAGAGAAAATCAACGATGTGGTCGAGGAGCGCCTCTCTATGTGGGATCGCGTCCCCTTTCTTCTTAGCGCTATTCCTGAATGGCGAGGCTTCAGAGACCTTTCCCTTGCGAAAACCCTGCAAGATAGAAGTCGAGGACAACGGGTCTGCGGATTCCGCGCGGCCCGAGGGGCGTTTAGCCAAGAGGGCGTGTTTCTTCGGCGGCCCAAACCGGCCAGCCGTGCCAAACTTGCCTGTCCATGTGGGCGTGCCGATGGCCTTGCGGCGAGCTATGAGCCGCGATTGTTTCAAGGCATCGGCAGCCTCTTTAGCCACGCGGCTGGCCTCCTTTTCAATGAGGCTGACTTCCCGAGGCGACGAGTCCATCACCTCGTCGTGCTTGAGAGTGCTGTGCACAATGCCTGCTTTGGAGAAGAGACCCTCCATAATACGGCTGTCGTCCTTGTTCTTGGTGTCTTCAGGATTGGCCTCGTCTTCGCCAGCAAACTCGTCGAGTTTCGAGACGCCCATGATACTGGCCACACGGTAGAAATCATCGTCATTGGCATGTGCCTTTTTCAGCAAGCGCGTCAGCTTGCGGGCCCGGCCGCCCCCATATGTCTTTTCGGAGCTGCCGAACATGTCGCCAGTCTCCGTGCCCCGCTCGTCCGGGTCGCCGAGGCTGAATAGATCATGGAGGTCGTTGAGCTTGAAGAAACGCCGCTGCTTCGGGTCCTTAAGGATTTTGTTGGTGAGAAACGTCTTGAAGATCTGCCGGTGGTAGATTTTCTCTTCGATGGTGCCTGCGGTCATGAGCCGGTAGATGGTGATGTCCTTTTTCTGGCCCAAGCGCCATGCCCGCTCACGAGCCTGGAGATCCGTGGACGGGTTCCAGTCGGGGTCGAAAATAATCACACGGTCCGCGCCGGTGAGGTTCACGCCCAAGCCGCCCACTTTGGTGGTGAGGAGAAACACGTGGTAGTGGGTGTTGCTGTTGAACGTGTCCACGAGCTGTTGTCTTTTTGCGATAGGCGTGGCCCCGTCCATGCGGAGGTAATTGAAATGAGTGTCGATGGGATCCGCTGATACGGGCAGACGGGTGCCAGGCGCATTGGATTCTGAAGCTCCAGAGAAGCTCGACGCGACAGACTCAGGATTTGCAGACACGGCCGAGCCGGGATTTTCCGAACCGACCGAGCCAGGATCTCCAGAAACGGCCGAGCCGGGATTTTCCGAACCGACCGAGCCGGCATTTCCAGAACCGGCAGGCCCAGACTCTCTTGCATCAGCCCCAGAGCCCGGCGCAAGCGGCCGCAAGGCGCCCACAAACTTCTCCAAGATATCAAGCATCTGCTTGGTCTGGCAGAAAAGAAGCGTCCGGTGGCCCTGGCTCTGCCACAACTGGAGCAAGTTCTTCAAAACCACCATCTTGCCCAGCTTGGCCATGGCGCCGTAGCGGTAGCCCGGCTTTCTCAAAAGACGCTCGCGGTCCACCAAGTCCGGGTGGTTGCAGATCTTGCGGAGCAAGTCCACGCCCATGAGCACGTTGCGGCGGCCCTTCAAAATGGCACCCACGTCGTCGCTACCCAAAAACCGCTCGTACATGTCCTGCTGCGTCTGGGTCAACTTGACGAACAACACCATCTCGTTCTTCTTGGGCAAGTCCTGCGCCACGTCCGCCTTGAGCCGCCGCAAAAGGTACGGCGAGATCAAGTCCCGGAGCACCACCGCACACTGGTAGCCGGTCTGCACTTGCACGTTGGACGCGTTGGCGTAGCCGCCCATGTTGATGGGCACCGCGAACTGCTGCTCGAACACGGGGAGCGTGCCCAAGCGGCCCGGAAACACAAAGTCGAAGAGTGACCACAACTCCACCAAGTTGTTCTGGATGGGCGTGCCCGAGAGAATGACGCGGTTGTGCGTGCGGACCCGCTTGCACGTGAGCGAGATTTCCGAGTTGGGGTTGCGGATCTTGTGGCCCTCGTCCAACACCACGTAGCCCCACTCGTGCGGCAAGATGTGCCGCAGGTACATGCGGAGGCCCACGTAGGTGGTGACAAGCACGTGGCCGTTTTGCAAGACCCGGCGCACGATTTCGCGGGCGTTGGCCTGGTTGCTGGCCGTGCGCTTGGAGAGCCGGTCGTGTGGCAACTGCAGGAGGTGGGCCGGGGCCTGGCTTTCGGCCAAGTCCTGCTCCATGTGCCTCTCGAGCTGCTCCTCGGTCCGCACCAGCTGGGGCGTCATGCCGGCGCCGATACTATGTAGGATGACGCAGCGGAGGGGCGGCCACCAGCGGTGGAACTCGTTGACCCACTGATTTAAAACGGTGGCCGGCACCACCAAGAGAACCGGCTTGTCGAGGCGGCCCGAGTAGTGGAGCCCGGCCAAAAACGCAATCACCTGGATGGTTTTGCCGAGGCCCATTTCGTCGCCGATGATGCCGCCTGTTTTCTGTGCGTAGAGCTCCCAGAGCCATTGCACGCAGGTTTTCTGGTAGTCGAAGAGCGAGGGGAACACGTCGCCGGGCAAGCGGAAGTCGGCGTTGAGGACGGCGTCGGGGATGGTGGGGTGTGGCCGCTGCCACTCGGGGTCTTCGGGCGGGGAGTCTGGAACATTGGGATGAGAGTCTGGAACATTGGGATGAGAGTCGGAGCCATGGTACTGAGGGCCGGGGCCATTAAACGGAGGGTCGGAGCCATTGGGCCGAGAGTCTGTGCCATTGTACCGAGAGTCTGTGCCAAAATACCCGGAGTCTGTGCCAGTATACCCGGAGTCTGTGCCAGTATACCCGGAGTCTGTGCCAGTAGATCGAGAGTCTGGATCGCCGGGTCCCGGGGCTGCAACATGGGGCACACGCCCAGGGTCGTCGCCCCTGGACTCGGCCTCGGCCCGCAACCGCAGCCGGGTTTGCACCCATTCATGGAGCCGTTTCTGGTATGTTTCCTCGTCGCCGTCATCCACGTTTCGCTGGGCAACGCACGCCCCGCCCCGCCCGGCTTCCGGCGTGGGCGTTCCCGCCTCGTTGGGCGTGTTTCGGCGGCGTTTCACCCGCGGCCCCTCGTCGGCGGATTCCGCCCCGGAAACATCCCCGGCTCCGTCTTTGCCGGACGTTTCGGAGCCGGATTCGCTGGCCACATACTCGTCGTCAGAGGTCTCGGTTTTCGTCGCGGATGGCCCGCTGTTTTGCCGCAAAGCGACGCCCAGGCCCAGGGCTTGTCCGGCCAGGGAGCCCATTTCGGGATCCATGGGATCCATGGCATCCATGTCCCGACCGGTGCATGCCCCCGTTTCCGGCCCGGTTCCGGCGCCGGCGCCGGGCCCGGTTTCTGCAGCTGCCGTTTTGCAGCCCTGCCCAAACCCGGCGCCAAAGCCCGGCGCCCGGAGGTGCACCAGCGATTTGCCCTCGCCTTCGTTTGCAGCCAGAAACCCACTGGCAGAGCCGAACGCCGTGATTCGGCCCGTGCGGATCAAAAAGTCCCGCTCCGTCTCGCCGGCCGTGGCACGTGACGCGCCCCCTTCGAGCTGCGCCCGGGTGGCGGCGAGCCGGGCCTGGATATCTTGCACATCGGCTAGCAACGGCGCCACCTCGTGTTCCTGGAGCCAGGCAATCTCGTCCTTGAGCTGGCGCCGCAGCGAGATTCTGGTGCGGGCGTCGGCGAGCCGCCGCTCCAAGACAGCGACTTTTTTGCGGGCCTTGCCGAGCTCCTGTGCCGTTTTCTGGAGCCGTTTCTCATCGAGCTCGCTCTCTTTGGCGAGGAGAGCGTCGTTGGCCTTTTTGGTGAGCGACGATTCAAGCTCGTCCTGGTCGACGAGCGTGGCCCCGATTTCTGGCAGAGGACTGGCCATTAGGCGGAGAATAGGGCGGCGGAAGAACGTAGGGGAGGAAGATGAGGAAGGCAATGGGATGCTTGCTGGAGGCAAGAGCACGCGTGCATGTCCAAGTCACGTGACCGCGCCGCCTCCCGGCCCTTCGGCCTTTCCCGGCCAGAAGGCCCCCAGTCGAGGCCTGGATGTCATTTATCTAGCGGTTGCCTCAACGGCGGGGGCTCCCGTCAACTGATTGGCGGAAAATTCTGGTGCATGGGCCGTTTGCGTACTTGTCGCAAGCAGCGAGCTCTGGTCTGGCCAATAATTAGGCCCCAAGTCAAACTTGGTTTGCACTGGCTTTCTCCGGCCAAGACCTGCCCATAGCCAGGAAAAAAAGCCAATTCTGCCGTTCAGCATTGCTATGTCTATAATGTCTCCTCAGGCCTGGCAGTAATTTTTGAGGAGGGTCCAATCCGGGGTACATTCGACCCGAGGGTACATATCCTGCGGAGTGACTCGGTGACCGATGCTAATCATAGATTTTTTTGGAGTTTAATTGTATTCGTTTTATTCATGACGGCAATCACGCTGATTCAAGAGAGGGCTACTACGTGCAAATCGTCAGAGTGAAATACGGGCCTATTGTCCAGACATCGCGCGTCCCCTGACTAGCCACGCCCTGGAGGCTCTCTCTTTGGATGCATTTATTCCCATGTTTGAATTATTCAAGAGACGACTTCTGGATCAGTCACATGATCGCGGCTGACGAGAACTCAAAGGGTTATTCGTGTGCCTTGTGGCTTCGTTGAGATTGGGCTCTGACCAGGGAGAGCAAACCAATTCGAAATTTGAGGTTGTTCAAAACTTTTTTGACCAAAACCGATTAAATAGAAGCTCATGCGCTTGCATATGTTTAGCCACTTGTATTTGGATGCTGTAAATTTGTTGAAAAGTATACTAAGACATCTGCAATCCATTGCCAGTCTTGGTTTGCCAAGTGGAGGAAAATACATCATACCTGTCCACCATTTTGCATTGTGTGGTGCTCTCCTATAGCGTTTCCGTCGTATCTCTATGAAGAACACGGCTCAAGAACCTGAACCTATATTGATGATTCTTCTTTCTGATTCCTCAACCCAGAAGTGTCTGCTAGAATTTATTTGATCTGGCCAATGGTGTATGATGAGCAGCCTCAGGCACAAAATCGGCATCCTTAGAAGCACTTCTTTCCATGCTTTGAAATATTGCAGTTGGTGAAGTCCGATTGAAGTGAACAAACAATGCACCCGTTTTGTCGAGCAAAAAGTCATTTCACTTGGATCGGTACTTCTTGTTTTCTCGAGATTACTGTTTTCAACACAGGGATCTTGAGATATCACGAAAACCAGGAGTTCTCTTTTTGAGCATAGTCATCTAAGCAGTGTATTATACTTGAGCCTAGTTGGAATACATCAAGGCTGCCAACCCCTTGGTCAGCCGCTCAAGTAACTTCGACTTGTCGATTTTTGAAACATGGCTTGGATTGTGAAGTCTCGTTCGTCCAGGTTTTAAAGAACATGCGTTTGTTTTTAAACTGTTTTGGAGCTGACAACGACATTTTTTGGCAACACCTTGCTTCCCGAGTTGATGTTCCGGTATTGGGACATATATAGAAGGCTATTGTAAAACTTGGGCATAGAAAATTTAGTCAAATATCTAAATAAGTCACGGGATCTTTCAGGTTTGGCGAGTATATTGTTGAAACTTGCCATAAGGCTGACAAACCGAGCTAGGTTTTTTTTGCTTGATTCATTGCTCACTCACTCGATTTGTTTGACTATGCTTGTTTTCATGGTCCACAAGATACTTGAGTTTAGAATGCATGTAAATTCATGGCTAGGACTTCGAGCCCCGAGAATAGGTGGCGCCTCAAACATGGCGAAGTGCCTTATATTCAAAGCCAAAGTGGTATAAAGGTGATCTCTTGCCTCAATATAGAGTAGGGTGACCTCATAGGATTTTTCTGCCTGCTCTGTGGTAGAAGTATTTGGTCTCAGAGGCAACTATCAATCAAAACGATTTCCCTCACAATGTTCATTTTTCTTCTGATCCATTTCATTCCAGTAAGCTCGCCTGAGATTTATGCTAAAGCTGAGGATTACTTTCATTTGTTTCAACAGCATCTATCTAAGTCATAATTCACTGTTTGGGACATTTTAGCAACGGGCCCAAAACCTGGGTTATGAGACAGATAGCGAGAAGACCTTGAAGGTATATGCTGATGCTGCAGATTCTAATGTGATCAAATCTACTGTCTTTGATTCTTTCCTTTTTTGTAGGTCTTATTCATAGACTAATTTTTTGATCTCTAGAAAGCTCGCCTTTGTTGTAGATCAACACCATGAATCCATTTTGAATAGATAACTTTCGCAAAGCGCAGTGAGTAGCTTGCCCCAAAATGAACGCAATGAAAGGCTGGAGTAAGCTTTGGAAAGCATTATACAAACAAGAATGGTTGGTTCAAAAGATACTCATTGCCATCCATCTATCCAATCATGGCTCCTAAGTTTCTTTTCATAGATCATTTGATTAAGATTCAGGTTATGTTTTAAACTCTGCTGTAGCGATCCGAAGCTAAATCAGCTATACAATGAGTGTGATCATGTGCACTTCTGGTGGCAAAAGATCGATTTTGAGTACAAAGACACTTAAGGGAAAGCTAGCTCTTTTAAATACGTTCTTTGACACTCCAAGAAGTCTTGATTGCTTAAGTCGTTCGCAGGTCCATCTGCTCAGGGACGCGAAAACAAATGATGTTTTGCGGCCTTGACAAATAAACTATAGTCACGGGCCCTTAGAAAACTTGTCCTTTGGGACAATGATATTCAGCTAATAATATTTGAGGTTGACATTGCTTGTGGGCAAAATCTTTTTGAGAGGAGTTCCATCCTCTTTTAGAGACTTCATGGATAGGTGTTCGTGACTTATCACCTGAGCCAACGTTGCGATCTATTATAGATTTTTTCTTATAGTTCTTTGTTAATGGTGGGGCTCTACGACCCTCCAGTGACACTCTATAATGCGATGATTCTTTGAATCAGTATTTGGAATGGTGCATCTGTCATTTTAAAGAATATACAATACGTAAACGGATACGGGCCAAGAAGACCGTCTATGCTGTGAATGACGGAAGGGGGCCGGCCGATTTTTGACACATGAGATGTATCTTGAGCTGTGCAATCGTATATACATAAATACATATGCATGATATATGTTTATATATATATATTATAGTTCTGTTCCTTTACTTAGCTGCGCGAATCGTAGGGACCACAGAATATTTAGGGATCTGCCTTGCGATAGCTCATTTCGGATTCTCGTATATTCTCATGTCCAAGGTCAAAAATTAGGTATCCGTTCTGGTCTACTCTCCTATTTATACGATGCTGAATGCTTTGTCATGTTAAGAACCTTTCCCCTGATTGGTACTCCAAGACAACTTCACCTCTTTCTTCGGTGAAAATGAAATCCAATACATCTTCGCTGTCTGTCATGTGCTTCGGCAATTTTGTTCACAATAGTACGCCGGGTGAAAGCTGTAAAAGATTGCTCCAAAACCGAGCTGGAAACAGCCTAGAGAGGAAACCGATCAATCCCTCTTCAAACATACAGAGAACCTGCTAATCTGCAAGGTTACAAGAATGTGCAGCGATTGCAAAAGCTAGTCACGGCAGCGGCTGTCATACCGGAAACCAAAAATGCAAATGGATATTTTATAAACATGTATAAAGGTACAACTTGTCTGTGGTCAATTTCTGAGGGCGGCTTCTTGGATCACGACTGCTCAACATTCGAGCCGGCCATCGTCCCCTCTATGTGGGCCGCAATTTCGACCGATCGCTGCCTCAAAAAGCAAAGGGCCAGCACCAGCCCAGACGCCACAGCGGCGAAATGGGTTTCGTTGTGAGTGATTCTGTGAAGGACACTGGAGAGATGATGACTGTGGATCACTCTGGAGAGATGATTGTAGATTGCTGTAAATCATTCTGGAGAGATGTTTGCAGATCACTGTAAAACACTCTGGAGAGATGATTGTAGATTGCTGTAAATCATTCTGGAGCGATGATTGTAGATTGCTGTAAATCATTCTGGAGAGATGTTTGTAAATCACTGTAAATGATTCTGGAGAGATGATTGTAGATTGCTGTAAATCATTCTGGAGCGATGATTGTAAATCAGTGTAAATCATTCTGAAGAGATGATTGCAGATCACTGTAAAACACTCTGGAGAGTTGTTTGCAATCACCATCACCACTCCACCACATTTTGCAATCACCGTCACCACTCAGAACGCACGTGGATACCGCCCGTCCGCTCCTCGGCATCACCAAACCCCTCCAGGAACATCACCAAACCCCTCCAGCCGCTCAGGTGAAAAACCACACAAACGGCTTGGCGAACCAGCGCAGCGACAGGAGCTTCTGCTGCTTCTCCTCGCGGTCCAAGGCCAAGACGTCTGCGTCGTACACGCTGCGCCCCGTCACAAGGTCGATGTCCGCAATCTTGATGTACGGCGTGCGCCAGGTGCCCGCGTACGTCTTGTGGGCAAGGTACAACACGAGCGTGAAGGGAATGGCCAAGTAGTTCTGGAAGAAGCTGTTGGCGTCCGGCGTGCTGCCCGGGAAAAGCGCCACCCAGAACTGGCCAATCAAAATCAAGAAGTTGATCAAGAGCGAGTAGTACGAGCCCCACTCGCCGGTGTACGACACAAAGCCCAAGGTGGCCAACGGGATGCCCTGGTGGCGCAACGCCGCCCGCCAGCGCAAGTGGCACACGCAGAGCCCCGACCAGATGTAGACCAACGCGAGCGCCACGATGGACAACAACCAGTTGAAGACCACCGCCTGGTTCTCGTACGTGGCGATGAACGAGAGGCAGCTGAGCACCACGCTGACGAGCCACGCGCGGAGCGGCCGCCCGGCGCGGTCCGTGTAGTCGAGCCAGCGCGGCGCAAAGCCCTGCTGGGCCAACGAGCGCAAGAGCCGCGCCAGCGAGTACATGGCGGCCGTGGCCACGGACATGACCGAGTTCAAGATCACCGCGTTGATGATGTGCGGCACCACGGGCACGCCGTGGAGCGACGCGGCAAGCACGTACGGCGACGCGCTGGTGGCCAGAGCGCTGGCGCCAAGGAGCCGCAGCGAGTCGTAGGGCACCAAGAGCCCGACGAAGACCAAGGAGCCCAAGTAGAAGAAGACGATGCGCACGAACACGAGGCGGATGGCCACGGGCAAGGCGCGGCGGGGGTTGCGCACGTCGCTGACGGAGAGCGCCAAGAACTCGGTGCCGCCCATGGAGAAGGACGCGGTGGCGAAGCACTGCACGAAGCCCTTGAAGCTGACGAAGAAGCCCGGGTCGTGCCAGTACAGGCCGCCGATGAAGCCGGAGCGCGATGCGCCGAGGTCGATGCAGAGGCCCATGAGCACGAAGCCCGTCAACATGAGGAGCTTGGCCAGGTTCATGACGAGCTCCGCGTGTGCGTAGCCACGCACGCCGAAGAAGTTGATGGCCACGATGGCCACCAAGAAAACAGCCACGAACACGTCCGAGTTGATGCGCGTGTTCCAGAACTTGATGATCATGGCCGCGGTGACCAACTCCAACGAGATGGCCACGGTCCACTGGAAGTAGTACGTCCATGCGAACGCGAACGCCACGGACTCGTCGAGGAACTTGCGGTACCAGTCGTTGAAGCCGCCCTCCAACTCCGTGTACGCCACCGTGAGCTCGCCCACGGAGTTCATCGTGCAGATGCACATGAGCCCGACGATGGCGTACGCCAAGAGGAGCGCCAACGGGCCGCCCACACGCAACTTGTCGGCGGCGCCCACCAAGAGACCCGTGCCGAGCCCGCTGCTGAGCGCAATCACCAGGAGATGCGACATGGCGAGCTGCTTGGGCACCGCGTGCTTGTCGTCCTTGCGCTGGAAGGACTGCCAGAACCCGTCCCTGGCGCCCAGCTCCTGCGACGCGTAGGCCACGAGTTCCGCGAGCTTGTGCTCCGAGCCCTGCGACTCCAGGCTGGTTTTCTTGGGTTCTCTGGGTTCTTGCATGGGCCCGGGCGTTGGGTCGCTGGGGGTGCGTGTGTTTTCAGGCATGGGTTCGGGTCGGGGAGGGGGGATGGGTCAAGGGTTGAACGGTCAAGGGTTGAACGGTCAAGGGTTGAACGGTCAAGGGTTGAACGGTCAAGGGTTGAACGGTCAAAAGTTGAACGGTCAAAAGCTGAAACGGTCAAAAGTTGAACGGTCAAAAGTTGAACGGTCAAAAGCTGAACGGTCAAAAGCTGAACGGTCAAAAGTAGAAACAGTCAAAAGCTTGTAACGGCAGACGGTCTGGGATCAGCCGGTCTGGGATCAGGTCGAGGGCCGGTGGGTGCAAAACACAAGGATGGCTGCAAAACGCGGCGAGGTTCTGGAAGGCGTGTGGGGGCCGGACTGCGAGGGGCCGGCGTTTGCGTGCGGGTGTTTCTAGCCAAGCGTGCTGGGGACTTTGGCACCAACTGGAGGATCTGGAGCGCCGGAGCAGGCCTTTTAAGCGTCACGAGGCCCGGCGCATCTCTTCTGCGGCGGCTTCGGCAATTTGCCCGGCTGCAGCAGCTGGCGCGGCGAACGGCAGGGAAAGCGCTGGAATGCCACGCGGGCCTGCAGGCTGTGAGAACTAGACGCTTAGCCCTAATTAATCATGTGACAAATGAGACATTAAAGTTCGCACCACTTACCCGGAACCAAATAGCACGACGAGTATATGAAGGGAAGAGAATTCCCTCTAGAGATCTTTTTTAGAAGGTCAGTTGACACAAAAGTGGTTTTAGTTTTTCCTAAATAAAGGTTTATTTCCACACGCTAGTACATCATGTCGAATCCGATATCTCAACTGTACCAGTTGGGAACCACTTGTGGACAGGACATTGAGTTGGAATATCCTGTACTCAAGCAGAAATACAAAC